AGCATTTTATGTGAGTAAATCTCAAAACATGGAAACGGATCTTGATGACCTACAGCGAGGAAATCAGTGAGGGCAGAATGCCTAGGTTTCATTAGTTTTAACCAGGGGGGGGAATGAGCATGAAGTGGACATACGGGCCCCTAATTTGGTTCCTTGTTTGCCTTCGATCTGACCTGCTGGCGATCAGTAATTGAAATCAAAGCATGTAATATATATCTTACATTTTTGATAAGATAAAATAAAACCAAGTGGTAAAAGGTCAAAAAACGAGGTACTGATGGTCTACCAAGTCACAGGACTCGTGGTGATTTCGCGTTCCACTTAACGCGACAAAGTTCGTTGTCAGGCGGACCTCGTGTTTCTGAGATACGAACTCCTCCAACTCCAGGGACGAAGAGGCAAAAACGGCAATGAAAAGAGGTTTTCGACGAATCACTTCCAGGTGGCTAATTCCGTGATCCTTGGCAGCGAAAATGATCCAGTGAATCACCGGTTGGAAAACTTTTCTCCTTTTCCAAACTTGGTTTCTTGATTATTAACCTGTACCTGGGGTGAGGCTGCCTGCGCAGGAGAAGGGAGCCTAGAGCCTTGCTTTCAAGCTGCCATCGAATTCGCATTCGGACGGATTGGCTCGATATCCAAGATCGTGTCCAGGTTAACACTAGGCTTACTCTCGGATTATTCTGCTTCACACAGCTTGCGGGTATCTTGCTCCATTATGGCAAGGAGGAAATTGGAAACGCAGGGGTCTGTTGCTTTCAGTGGTAAGATACTAGAATTAACCATCCTTGTTCTACCTTGATACTATCTTTGCCTTCAAATTTTAAACCTTAAGGCTGACTTATCAAACACCAGCCCCAGATGTTCCGCCTTCGTCCTCATCCAGGCGCACCTCGTTGAGACTAGCTCAGGCAGCGCCCTCCACCCCGAAAGCCGAGAGCACCGAGAGCCAACCGGAGATTGCAGATAGTGAAGATGAGTTGATATCTTCAGGGACCCCAAAACCTCGTGGTGTTGCTAGGCTAGCAAAAGTTGAAGTCGCCATCCCATTGAAGTACCCCCGCCGTTCAGCGTCTTCCTCCGTTGCCGCCGAAGATACATCTGCGGACGGGATAACCGGATACGATACGCCAGCAACGAGTGTTGCTGTTACTCCTGCCGATTCGGACATTGGGCGCTCGAAGAAGAGGGTTAGCGCATCTGCTAGAGCGCGGGAATTGCGTTCTAGTAATATGTCTTTAGGTGCGAAGGCGAAGAGGGGAGTAAAGCGGTCCGCAGCGACAGAGGCAGACGACTATTTCACGCCCGAGAACGCAGATGCCGCATTGGCTAGGAATTTACAACTACAGGAATATCAACAGAACATTCCAAAACGCCGAAAAACTTCTGACAATTCTTTCCCGGAAATCGGCGGATCTGAGGATGGCGATAGTCCACTAAGTGAGATAGATTATGACGAATTATACGAAGAAGATCTGGAAAACCCATTGCCTCCAAAGAAGCTCAGGGCATCCCGTCGATCAAACACCAAGCCTGTGATTCCGGATAGTGATGATTTTTTGGATGAGAGCTCTGAAGGGTATATAGACGATCATGCTTATCGAAGTGACTCTGCTTCTAACATGAGCGACTCGTCTTCTGCTGCGAGTGAGGAGGTGCCGTTGATTGTGCAGAGGGCTGAGCGGACCAATAACACCAGGACTCGGAGATTAATGTCTCGAAGACGGCTGTCTGCTGGTCTAGCAAGCGCGCTTGCCTCTGGGATGAGCTCTCGTGTAAGATATGTGGAAACTACGTTCAAAAAGTCTAAACTAACCAAAGCGTCCAGGCTTATAAAGAGCGTCAGAAACTTGAAAAACAACACCCAACTATTACAACTATGTGGAATGATTTGAAGAACGATCCTCCCATTACCCCCGAGCCAGCAGCACAGCCTGTGGGTATATCGAGGACACTAAAGCCATTTCAGCTCGAGGGTTTAAATTGGATGATCCGACAGGAAACAACACAATACAAGGGCGGACTCTTAGGTGACGAAATGGGCATGGGTAAAACCATACAAGCCGTTTCGCTTCTTATGTCGGATTATCCGGCAGGTAGGCCGTCGCTTGTTGTGGTTCCGCCGGTTGCTTTGATGCAGTGGCAATCAGAAATCAAGGTTCGTTGGCTCAGCTCAAAATATTGAATACTCTTTTAATGCATGTCTCAGGAGTATACAGATGGGAAACTCAAAGTTCTCGTCTACCATAACACCAACTCCAAAGTCAAGGGCCTTTCAAGGAAGGACCTTGAAAAATACGATGTCATCATGATATCTTGTTTGTATCCCCCGTTGGAACTCCGATTGCCTTCTATCTGACTATTCTGTAGATTCTGGCCTAGAATCAATTCATCGAAAAGAGTGGAAGGGCTGGAACCGCAACGATGGAATTGTTAAGGAAGATAGTAAGAATCTGCACCAACAAATTACGGTCCTACTTTTTTTTTAACATTCTCAAGGTGTCATTCATTCTATTCATTATCACAGACTCATTCTAGACGAAGCCCACAGTATTAAGGTATTATTGTCTTTGTCATTTTCAGAGAGGATTGCGCTGATTTCAATAGCAACGTACGACAAGTGTCGCTCGAGCCTGCTTCGCACTCAACTCTAACTATAAGTGGTGCCTTTCTGGTACACCCGTTCAAAATCGAATTGGGGAGTTCTTCTCTCTGCTGCGATTTCTAGAGGTCCGACCTTTTGCTTGCTATTTCTGTAAGCAATGCAAGTGTCAAGAACTTCACTGGTCACAGGATGCCGAGAAGCGATGCACGAAATGCCGACACAGGTACCGTATATCCCATATCGCCATCACTTGAGTTTCTGTATTGACAATCATTATAGTGGCTTCAGTCATGTATCAGTCTTCAACCAGGAGATACTCAACCCTAGTAAGTACATGATCAAAGCTTTCACTTTCACCGATTTAACCAGTGATAGTCACCGAAAGAAATGACATGGAAGCGCGGAAGGAGGCTCTGGCCAAGCTACGGTTGATCACGGATAGGATCATGCTGCGTCGGGTTAAACGGGACCACACAGCTTCGATGGAACTTCCACCAAAACGGTCAGTATCTCTCACGGATTAGTGAAACATATTGAAACACTGACCTGATCTAGGGTGATTCTACACAATGAATTCTTCGGAGAGATCGAACGTGATTTCTCTAGGAGTATCATGACCAACTCTTCCAGACAATTCGACACCTACGTGAGCCGTGGTGTGATGTTGAACAATTACGCTAATATTTTTGGACTTATCATGCAAATGCGACAAGTTGCAAACCATCCGGATCTCATCCTGAAGAAGCATGCCGAAGGAGGTCAAAATATTCTCGTATGCAGTATCTGCGATGAACCCGCAGAGGAAGCGATTCGCTCACGGTGCCATCACGACTTTTGCCGACGATGTGTGAAGGACTATATTCAATCATTTGACGCGGATTCTGTGGTTGACTGTCCTCGGTGTCACATTCCGCTCTCGATCGACCTAGAGCAGCCAGATATGGAACAACATGAAGATCACATCAAAAAGAACTCGATCGTCAACAGAATTCGAATGGAGGATTGGACGTCTTCGACAAAGATCGAAATGCTCATTTACGAACTTTACAAGTTACGCAGCAAGAAGCAGACTCTCAAATCCATCGTTTTCTCCCAGTTCACCTCCATGTTACAATTAGTCGAATGGCGCCTTCGCAGAGCAGGCTTCAACACTGTGATGCTTGATGGAACCATGACACCTGCGCAGCGCCAAAAGTCAATCGACTACTTCATGAATAACGTGGATGTTGAGGTTTTTCTCGTATCTCTTAAGGCAGGTGGAGTAGCCTTGAACCTCACGGAGGCATCAAGGGTCTTCATCGTGGATCCGTACGTCTCCAGTCTGTGCTTGGTTTAGTATAGATCTTATCACTGACGGTTTCTAGGTGGTGGAACCCTGCAGCAGAATGGCAGAGCGCCGACCGTTGTCATCGAATTGGTCAGCGCCGACCGTGCGTTATTACGCGGTTATGCATTGAAGACTCGGTGGAGTCGCGGATCGTCATGCTTCAGGAGAAGAAGGCGAACATGATCAATGGCACCATCAACAAGGACCAGGGGGAAGCGCTGGAAAAGCTCACCCCAGAGGATATGCAGTTCTTATTCCGGGGCTCATAGTTGCACTCTCGACTTCGAGTCTGCACATTTTCCTTGTATTCTTATCCTTACACAGCCACAGGCAGGCATCAGCGATATAGGGCTGGGCTTGAGGTCGTGCAGCTGGGCTGGCTTACCTTACTTTGGTTTTGCTTTTTTTGAACCACGGTTTTCGCAGGCAACAGAAATAATTTACTCAGTGGAGACTCGAGGGGGGCGGGAAACATGCGGTGCCAGGGACGTTGGCAATTAATATTAGCAAATCTACAAAGCTTATACGAGTGCAAAAATAAACAAAGAAAATATTATGTAGTGGAAAGACCCAGGAGCAATTTTTTTGATACCGTCTTCCAGTCGACACATCCTCGAAACCCCTTTTGCGCAATTCGAAGTGGCCCTTCAAGTCAGACTCCGGAATATTACGTACCATGTGAGATTCTCCGGGTGTATTGGCAAAAGCTTAGCCTTCCGTCGGTAAGGCTGAGTGGGACGACTTCGCCTTCCGTTGAGGGGGTTCGTCGAGTCGTCATTTCAGGTTTGCTCCTGAACTCATGGCCCTGCCGGCTTGCTACCATGGCATGGTCTCTTCCCTTTTTAAAGAGAGACGTGGAGCCTATGCCCATCTTCTTTTTTACTCTCCATGATTATTATTATTATTAGTTTCCCATTTGCTCTCCAAGTCTCAGTCCTGTTTTCTTTGCTTTTCCGGACCCCGAGACCCAGCCCTGCGGTTGGCCCTCCTCGTTCTATCAACAGGCAGCAGCGAAACGATCCTGGCGCAAATTCGCCATAACCTCTCCCGCCCCCGATTTCGTAAATAATGGAAGACGCACAAGCACAAGCACGCCCACAACACTTAGGCGACAAGTATGGGCCGAAGCTGGTTGATAAGGCAGACAAATTACAACAACAGGCTGTCGCTATGAGCGGCGGTTCAAAAGATGGTGAGCCTGCTGGGGGGTTTGACAGCACGCCGTTCCCCCGTGCGCCACCCGGCTATACGCTAAAGTTCACATTCCATCGCGGGGTCAACCTACCTTGCGCCGATTTCGGCACTTTCTCATCCGATCCATATATCCATGCCACGTTGAGTGTTGATGTTCCGCAACGACATAAACAGGATCCATTCCCAACTTTCAGAACTCCAACTGTGCGTAAGAATCGGGACCCCGTTTGGGAAAAGGAATGGGTTATTGCCAATGTCCCTGAGTCTGGGTTTCGGCTCAAATGTCGCCTCTACGATGAGGATGCGGCAGATCACGACGACAAGTTGGGAAATGCCTATATCCAGGTGGATTCAATTAACGAACAATGGGCTGGCATCCGCGAGCAGCCTTTCCGGCTGAAGAAACACACTGGCAGCAAGCGAGTCTATTTGTTTGGAAATATCGCCTCTCTCGCCTCGCGACGTCTTGACACCGCATCGCATATAGTCGTGAGCGTTGAATGTCTGGGAAAAACTCCTGGCACGAACGGCGCACAAGTTTATACCCTGGGGCCAAATTACTGGTTCAAACATTTCTCGCCGCTGATCGGTAGACTAATTGGGACAAAGGATGCTGTTCAGAATCAGGATGGGAAGAAAACAGTCAATCGCTACAAGTATGTCCCACTGTTTCCGCAAAGGACCTCCCTCCACCGTACACTCCCCAGTTTAATACTTTTCTTTTTAGTTTCCAGGCCATACAGCTCCAACTAAAGGGGCCCGTGCCCACCGAACTGTATCATCGATATGTGGAATTTAGGCCTTTCGTGGCGGGAATGTTCACCTCACATACTCTTCGTGGGCGGATACTCAACAGAGCACTTCATCATCAGCATGAGAGGATCTATAATTTTGACAGGGCAACGTTAGATGGTCACTTCGAAACCCCCTGCGTCGAGATGACCCAGAAATTCCTTGAGTTTGTTCATTACGGGCAAGGAGGTAGAATTTTCACCTATGTCCTCACCCTCGATGGCCAGTTTCGTTTCACAGAAACAGGGAAGGAGTTCGGTATTGATCTACTGAGCAAACACACGATGCACAGCAATGTGTCCGTCTACATCGCCTATTCTGGAGAATTCTTTCTTCGACGACGAAAACACCGCCACCGATCCCGCTCCTTGGCCTCAAATCGATCTTCCACAGAATATGTTGTGGACAATGATGGCGAGGAGATGGAGATATCAACTAATCCGAGTGGATATGAACTCTTCATAGACAACGATAGTGGTACTTACCGTCCGAACGCTCACTATCTGTATCTTCTGAAACAGTTCTTATCGTTTAACCTCCCTGAACTTCACATCACGACTTTGGATTGCCAGGCTGATGCGGAACGGATGCAGGAGCTAAAGAATGAACAGAGAGAACTGAAACATAGCGCAGGCGCCCAGATGACCTTCCTCCAGCAAAGAAGCAGGTCTTCTTCTTCTTCTTCGTTTTCCATCTCAAGCTCTGATGAGGACGAGTTAAATGAGCGCAGTGGTCTAGAGCAAAAGCAAAGAAGGGACTTTTCCAAGAAAATGCATGAGATGCGAGACGTCAGAGGGCATGTCCTGAAATGGGCGCAGGGAGATGAAGAGATGCATGGCAGCTCTGAAAAGAAGGTGGAGTCCTCGCATCCCCATGAGGCTACAGCTGGCATGGAAAGGATGACAATCAGCGGTGCTGGAGCCCAACAGTGATGCCCCACGATTTTTCACATAGCTCCTGTGGAGCTATTTCCATGTCTCTTTCCCTCTCTTTCCTTCTTTCTTTTTCCCCCACCTTCTTGGCCGTCATTGCGAGGTTAGACCCCTCGTTGTTTACCTGCCTACTGTTCATTCTAGATCAGCTCCATATCTTGTATACTGCCCGTGGCCATCGTTATTCCTATAATGCTAATGGTGTTATTATTAATGGGAAGCAGCGGATAGGCAAAATGGTGAGAGGTTGGGTAGCCTTGTGTAATATCATTATTGCTTCGTTTTGTTAGACAGCCGTTTCGCCTACTATATTTGTATGCTGTATTCGGTTAGATATACTATACATAGTGCACTATGTATATGTACTACATATAATCATAAATATGCGTGTGTTGTTTGTGTATATGATGAATTTTTTTTTAAAAAAAACTGACCACGGTCGAAGCAGCAGATGATGGCACAAAACCATCAGGGACGAAATATCAAAGAGGCGATTTAACCGCGTCAATAAAGCATTAGTAAAAACCACCCACGCCATCATCATCATGAGATCTCAGAAATAGAATCGGAAAATAAAGAATTGGATGCGGCGCTAAAGAGGAATCTATCCCGCTTCAGGCACCTCGATCGAGGGGTAGTCCGACGACAAGATTCCTCAAGAGTCCAGAGTCAAGACTCATTCAATCCGAGTCTAAGCCCCCTCCAAGCCGATCTCAACTCCTCTTCTCCTCTCGGCATCCTCCACAGCCTCAAACATATCTTCTTTCCTCTTCCAACTCGCCGTCTCATCGATCGCTGCCTGCTTCCCGCTCTTAGCCTCATCCGCTCCCTGCTCAGCTTCCCAACCGCCCCCAATCACCGAACCTCAGCGAACCTGCTATCTATCGTCAAAAAACCCCCAACGTCCCGCGTGCTGGACCAGGGTCAAACCAGTGAATGATCAAGAGGGAGAAACACCGAAACACTGGTGGTGGCTCCATATTCCCCACTCAACTCATTTAATCTCGTCCACTTCTGCTCCGATTGCGTTCTTCCATCTCCGTCGATCGTTATTCACAGCATCCTGCCCTTGCTTTGACTATCACGGGCCACTCGCTCATGATCTGAGTTGGGTGGCAGTTGGGATTCCATCGCGCATCAACAACAGCCCAGCCTTTCCTCTAAAACCAAACTAAAGGCGCGCAGACCGCCGATGGTGACCTTTCACCTGCCCCGGTTTCCTCTGCGGACTTGATACTCCGAACGGCGACTTGACGCCTTGAGCATTCTACAATGGGGATTGTCGGAAGCCGGCTTGAGGATTCGGGGAGCCTGTATTTCAAGGATCAGAATAAACGTATGGCCCTTCTGTTCGTGCGATCGACAATGAACTGCGGCTGACTTGGTTTATCAGTAACGATCGCATCCGTAACGATTTCAAATCCTCGCCGCGTGCTTTTGAACCTCGTTCCAAACTCATTCCCTGCCACCAGATATAATGCGAAGAGAGAACCCGGCGACGATAGCTTGGTTGAATATATACAGGTAAGCCAAATAATTAGGCAACATTGCATGGAAACATTGCCTTTTAACTAACAGCTCCAATGTAATACAGGATCCGGACTCCCCTCCCTCTGCTCCCACACCCTCCTTTCTCTTGCGCTTAAACAACGATGACGAGCTCATTTTTAAATTCACATTCGTCCTTAGACAGACGCAAACGGGGAATATCTCAAATTCTACTGTTAACGGAGTTTCGACTTCTTTGCCCGAGTTAGCCGACACTGTATTGACGGGACTGACATTTGCACATGCGCCCAACTCGAAAGAACTCGACAATCTGGTCACAAGAGAATTCCACGCAAACCCGAACCTGCAGAATAACTCGAATGTTCAGCTAGTGGGTGATTTCTCAACCGAAAGCAGCCCGTCTGTTCAGTTTGACTGGTCTTGGAAATGGAAACCTCCAAAAATTACAGAAGACAAGGGCGGTGGTTGGAGAAATAGCTGTAGCTTCTTGGATTATGACCAACGAGCTAATCGCCTCAATACACTCGCTTATTTTTCCTTCTGGGTACAAAACACTGTTCGACCGCCTCCCAGCCCGCAGATTACTTCCCCAAACCTGGAAGTCCATATCCCGGCTCGCAACCGTGTCCCTTCTTCGCATTCTGTTTTGTCACATTCTAGCGATGCGGATGCCTCGTCGAACGCTCAGGTCCAGGTTGTGCCGGGCACACCCCCGGAGGTTGGTGAGGGGCCTACAACTACTGCGGCCCCGGCTCCAGTCAAGGTAGATCTTCCTCATTCGCGTCCCGGCGAGGACATGAGTGTGGTCGAAGATGGGCCATTATTCCGTGCTACAATGAAAGCACTAGAACAGAAGACAGGGAACATGCGCGCCAAGATCAAGAAGGTGCTGAAGAAGGCCGAAGCCGCCCATCAAGCCCAGGCGGCCTGTAATGAGGCTGTAGAAGCGTTTTTATCCGCGCTCGGCGATGCATCCACATCAAATGCGAACGCAATCCAACCGGCTTTGGACCACTACTTTGAGAAAATTTCGCGGCAAATACTGAATTACGAACGACTTAATGCCCTGCAACTTCAAAAACTGGTGATTGAGCCACTCTTAAAGCTTTATACTAATGACATCAAGCAAGCCGAGGCGAAAAAGAAAGAGTTTGAGGAAGAGAGTAGGGATTATTATGCATACGTTGGTCGCTACCTCGGGCAACGACAGGACTCTCTAAAGGAGAAGAAGCGGGCAGAAAGTGACTCCAAATACCAGGCGAAGCGGCGAAACTTCGAATTGAGACGGTTCGACTACTCTTCGTTCATGCAAGATCTACATGGTGGCCGTAAGGAACAGGAGGTTCTTTCCCATCTCACCAAATATGCGGATACACAAGCAAAGACCTTCCTCGCCGCTGCTAAAAATGTGGACGACATGGTTCCTCAGCTTGATGCTCTTATCCACGAGGTGAACCAAGCGGACAAGGAATTCCAATTTCAAAGAACGGAGAGGGAAGAGAAACGACGTGCTTTAGAGAAGAGCAGCAACACGTACCTCGAACCCGATGCCCCCACCAGCTCGAGTGCAGCATCAACGTTAGTTGGTAGCAGTAATGGAAACCAGAAGGCAGACGGAGATCTAGGCCGCGCCGATAGTACCGGGTCCCAGCTACGAAGTGTCACAAGCAATAACTCGTCTACGTCAACTCAAGCAACTGCTCCCACCAGCACTCCCGCCGGGCCGCCTGCTGCAACCCCAGTCACGAATTCAAACAGTACGTTTTCCGGAGTATCCGCGAATTATCCCCAAAATAAGCATGAAAGCTAATCTTACCGCAGGCCAACAGAGAAAAGAGGGACTTCTCTGGGCTTTATCTCGACCAGGATCTCATATTGACCCCAAGGGCATTAACAAGCAGGCCTGGCACAAGTAAGACTTTCGATTTCCTTTATCGTCATCAGTTCGCTGGGGATACTGATATTTTTCATTTTCTAGGTTTTGGATTGTCCTAGATCAAGGAAAGCTGTCAGAATATAGTAACTGGAAGCAAAAGCTTGACCTACACATGGAACCCATCGATTTGAGGATGGCCTCTGTAAGAGAAGCCCGGAACGCAGAACGGCGGTTCTGCTTTGAAGTCATCACCCCTCAGTTCAAACGCATCTACCAAGCGACTTCAGAGGACGATATGGGAAACTGGATCAGGGCGATCAACAACGCTTTACAGAGCGCCGTTGAAGGGCGTAGCATGTATCCACCCCCAGTTTCCGAGGCCGATAAGTCAACTATTGGCCGTGACATTGGCTCCGTTTTAACAGGGAAAAGTTCTTCGGTTTCCCATCACTCTCACCACTCATCCGCATCTAGCAACGTGGCGCGTCGCACCACCGTCGGTGCACGACCAAGTTATGTTCGCGGTGATTCACAAGGATATGAAGATAACCCCTCGAAGCTACTACAAGCGGTTCACGATGCAGATCAAGGCAACCACTGGTGCGCGGACTGCAATTCCACGTCCAAGGTTGAGTGGGTTTCCATAAACCTGGGGATTGTCTTATGTATCGAGTGCAGTGGCATCCACCGATCTCTTGGAACACATGTTTCCAAAATTCGATCACTCACATTGGATGTCCATTCTTTCTCGAACGACATTGTTGAAATCCTCCTGCAGGTTGGAAACCGTGTCAGCAACATGGTCTGGGAGGCAACTCTAGATCAGTCTCAAAAGCCAGTAGCCTCATCCACTCGTGAACAGCGACTGAGATTCATCACAGCCAAATATGCGGAGAGGGCATTCGTTCAATCCTTGCCGTCTCCATTATCACGATTTCCAACACCGGATGAGACTCTTCTCGCCTCAATTAAGAGAAATGATATCCAGGGTGTTCTTTACGGCATCGCCCTCCGCGCGAACGTGAATGTCGCTGATCGCTCGCGTAGCACCCACGCTATCTTCCTCGCTTTAGCAGCAGCAGACCCGGCATCCCCCGGATCAACAACGCCAGGTCTATCCTCTCGGCCCAGTACATCCGTGAAGGCCATTCCTTTCCCAGTCGCGGAGCTCCTCGTCCAAAATGGAGCCGAGATTCCGTCACAACCCCCGCCAATCCCTCTTTCCGCAGCCGCTCAATTATACCTCAACCAGCGAACAACGCGAATTTCGGGGTTCAATCATCCTACGCCTTCTGCAGCACCAGCAGATACACTGGGGTCACTTCCTACCATCCGGGGGCCTGGAGGTTCTGGAGCGGGCAGCGAGCAGGCTCCCAGTACGCTGGATAACAAGGAACGTGAGAAGCTACATAAGAGAGGAAGCGCCGGTGCGAGATTTGCTGGCAAGGTTGCTTCGTTAGGGATCGATCGATAAATAATACGCTTTCCTTCCGTTTTTCTGCCCTGTGTTGTTACCTAAATCTATTCTTACTTCATGGCGGATTCCGCACAGATCCCCTTCTCATTTCCTTGTCCTATACCAGCTTGACGGATTGGCTCCCGGTTACGATTTGTTTATACAACCGGTTACACCTAATGACTGTGTCCAGTTGGACATGATGATTATTTACTATGTTGAGGAAGGGATACCTGCCGGTTCCCTTCATTTTGCTCCGTTCATGGAGAGTGTGAGTGCATTTTGCAACTTCAAGTACAGACAATTGATGAGTTTATGGATGGTGGGCGGCCTGTTTTAATGGGATATATAGCACATGCATTTTATTTTTAACCTTACCTCTTTTCTTCTAATGTATATCATCATTCTTATTAGCTTAATGTTGGCTACCACTTTTTTAGTAGACATGCGATGTAGGAAAGTCATAAATGCTTGGTTAAATTGTTCTATTCCTTTACTCGCTTTTCACAGAACCGGTATGATATTTGGTCGGTGAAATTGTAGTACAGCTAAGGGAGGAAAAATATCTAGAAGGGCGATCGAAAGAAGGGGGGGTTTTGGAAATTGCCAGCAACTTTGGTCCTTGATTCATTGGAATCCCAATGGGAAAACCCCTGGGTCCCAGAAATGATGTCATGATGGGTCCCGTGTTTGCGCAGCTTGACTATGATCCTCAGCCTATGACGTCAATGGTGTAGGGACGAGGTACAACGATCGGTCGTACTCCGTACCTGGTGGACGATTGTCAAAAGCAATGTCACTTTCCATGAGGGATAGCCAAGGCAGGCAGCAAAATTCTTACGTAGCTAGGCGCAGGGCTGACGGGGTCAGGCTTCGTGACAGTGGCACTGCTGTTGGATAGCGCCACTCCTGGTCCGAGCTTACTCTGGATTTTAACTGAAGACTCCGAGTCGGAGCCATCCTAAGAAGACGAATAGCCAAGCGATTGTGGCGAGTGAGCTGGATAATGCTGTCTCATTGGAGTCTGTGATGCACTGGCCTTGTCGTGTCCTTTGCCTCAGTGGCGGTGCATATGATGAACGGCACTCCATGGCTCCATGATATTAACTGATTATCGTGGGAATTACTCGGTACGGTGTAGAGTTCCCATAGCAGTGGCAAATTCCCTACCTTTGCATTGATGGCCAAGTGCTGGATAAATAATAGTACTGCGTATTATACGGTGTATAATATCCAACAGGATAGTATTTTTTTTTTTTTTTTTTATAAAAAAAAAAAAAAAAAAAAAGCCTTACTGTAGCTCCACACCTACATATACAGAATATGTACACTGTGCACTGCTGTGTACCGTAGACTAACTACAGTCCTGGAGCCCTCCACAATCCGTGAGATCCAGATGAACCCGCAGTAGACTAAGCAATAACGGAACTGTCTCCGGGCCTAAGCGGATAAAGGATCCTCATGACAGGAAAGGCCTGGGAGAGCAGCCGGTCCAAGCAACAAGTATCACGGAAACAGCCGAGAAAATACTGGAATAAATCTTGTTGGGGGACTCTCTCTCTTTCTCTCTCTCTTTTCTTTTTCTTCTTTGCAATTCGCATCAAACGATCTACGACAGAGGGATGTGGCTGATAACTTTCCATACTCCGGCCATCTTCTTCGGCCGAAATGTGGATTCTGAACCACCGGATCGACCGGCGAATCATACTTCAATTGGCAAAGAACATTGAGTCAGAGTCAGAGTCTCGAAGACTCAGGCGACTCCACAAACTGACGAAAGTCCCCAAGTCAGTACGTAGTGGGACATCGCCTGAGGCTGCAACATTTCCCATTGTCTGGCGATCTATGGCGCAGTATGCTTGCTGCTGCTATGTCCTATGAGAGTCGAGGCAAGCTACTAGGTAGGCCCCAGTTGTTTCACAAGTAGTTAAAGCACCCGTTAATGATATCAGGCTACGGGTGCCTATAGCATTACTCCGTAGTGCAGTCCGAGAATCCGAGGTCGTCTGTCTTCTCGTAAATGTGGAGGAAAGAATTGGAGACAATGACTCCGTGTTCTGGGGAGGTATACGAGTCAACAGGGGGTCCAGTGGTATCTTCAAGAACCCACTAGGAGTAGTGTAGCAGCAGCAGCCGTGGGCCGGGGCTTGTGGGGCATCGCCTTTCTTGGCGAATTCAACGTAAAATTGTAAATCACGAAATTTCCGCTTCGGGACAGGATGAGGCCAAAGTAGTCAGCTTACAAATGATTGGCCGGGATCTCACCCGAATCCACGAATCAGAGGCTCCATAGCCGAGCAGCCCGAAAGTGCGTGGGCGGGAGCCATCATGGATTGCATTCTGCTGTGCGGCATGGGCGCCTTTCGAACGGCAATTTTGTTTCCCCCATGCTCAATCTTCTGGGGCTGTACGGAGAACACCGTCCACTCCTCACCCTTTCACATCAATTCTCCACAAAGTACGGACGGTGTTCCGGCTCTCGCTTCGAAGGTCGCGACCCACGGAGATCAGCCCTAGTGGTATCTCAGACCCCCTGCGGCCCTCTCCCTTTTGCTCGTTCCCTGGGGCCACCGATCCGTTCCCTTGCTCCCGACGGGGCACCATGCTCTTCTTCTATTGCTCTATTATTGTTATTATTGTTATCCCAACTCAAGCAGGTGCGTTATAAGAAAAGATTTGATCGGCTCCGGTGGAGGCTCGCGCCATCTTTCGACCCCACTTCTCGTCGTTGAGGCGGCTTTCTTAGATTATTCCGCTACGTATCAGACGTTCAGAGCAGGGAACTGACATGGTCTGTTTCCTCTTTAGTCGGTCTCTTGGTGCGGCGGGAAATCAGACGACGCTCGTATCATACCTAGGATGATAGAATGAATGGCTTCCTCTTGCGAGCGGCAGTATCCACACAGCCACGACCATGGTTAGCTTTGCCCTTCAACCTTTAATTTTACTTTTACTCATCTGTTCCTGCTTCAAATGACCAATCAGTGTTTGAGCGGAAGGAAATTCTGACTTGATGTCAAAAGAGCATCTACGTGCTGACGGCAGTGTAGATTTAGTGAGCTACAAGCTGTAAGGCCGGTGCAAAGGTACTACTACACCGTACAGTGTAGGTGGTCTTTGGTAGCGTAGTCGGCCTTCTGGGCTTCGACACCATATAGCTACCTATCTATACCATTCCCAGGAGGACTCGGGACTGACTCTCCTTGCACTTCACTACTATCGATGTGCCCTAGCTCCATTTTTCCCAGATGTCAATCATGGAGATTCCCACCTGCAAATTGCCACTGCAGAGCTGGACTACTTTCTCTGTTCCTGATTGCGCACCTTGGGGCTCCACGCCTCCCTGGAACGTGCACATTCTGCGTATGGCTCGCAGATTGCCACCGACCCTCGCACCCCCCCCCTTCCCGTCGGCGCCACGACTTTCTTTTCTCATTAAGAATGTCCCGATCTACCACTGGGGCCATGGCATCCCCTCGTGGCCCACGGCTGAATTTCTTCTTGAATAATAATCTGTCAGAAGGCGACCCGTGGATCTAGCCTGGCCGATGGACGCCTGCGACACCCAATCACAAACCCATGTCCAAGCCATCTATGTCGCTCATTTTTTTTTTTTTTTTTTTGCTGCATTAATATCATTGTTTGGAAGCCTACCTGGGTCGTGACATCAAAGGCTGGACATGAGCAATAAATACTAACTGCTCGGCTCGACCCTGCACCTCCCCATATAATCGAATATCCCCATATATAGTGACTTCATTTGCCGAAGCGTCGACTCTTGAGGAATGCTCGTTGGGAAGCAATCTCTTCCCAGGTCTTCGCACTTGACTGATCTTGTTCACTCGGCCGCTGCTACGTCTTCGTGTCCTTTTCCTCGAAGGCGTCGGTCTTCCCGTGAACATCGAAAGTAATCTGCAGAATCCGCCGATCTAGCCCCATCGATCTTCGCATGCCAATTGATTGTCGTGGCGTGTGAGGTGCGGTTAGGCCGTTGAAGGCAAATTCTGGGCTGGAAACAGGGCCCCGATCTCTCCAGAGAGTGGGTAATTTCTCCATCCATCCAGGAACGGGCCACAGCCACAGAAAAAGCAACAGAGATCGGATGCTGGAGACTATTTGAGGTAAAAGCAGTCGTCTTTCCTGCTCTGCAGCTGGTCATTTGTCTCCTCTGCTTCTGCGCCACCGCCCAGTCACCCCCATCGCTGTGGTACACCCTCTGAGAAGGCCGTGCAGCAGTGACCCGTTATTAACTTAGTAGTCCTGCTCATTGGTTTCACTGTCCGCGGCCGTACCTCTAGCCTTACCCACACCGGATGTACAGGGCTCATTTTGCCGGGTCCTGAGGGTCTTCACGAATCAGTCGCCGCGTTGGTTGGGCTCTGCTGGCCCGACGACAGGCACCGCCGCGCCGAGGAGGCCCTTTTTCTATCTCCATATCTTCCTCTTCAGTTTTTGGCCGAGCGCGTTTATAGACGGGGGCAGACCAAAGGGAGAAGAACACGCCCCAGTCCCACTCTTTTACCCGGAATGAGATCGATTGCAAGCTCTTGACCGACACATCTCAGACCGGCGCCCCTGCTTGTCAAGCCAAATTGTAACTAGACCGCGCTACGCACTCCTGTAAGTCATTATGGCGTACCAATGATCCCTTGGGAAACAATGGACGAAGTGGAGGGTATTGATTTCTCTACTATTTAGGGAATCGGATCTAACCCTGGCCGCTTATTTTCCTTGTCACTTGCCTTAGTAGTAGACAGATGTGAGTGCCCTGTTTTCTTTTCCCCTTTGTGGCTGATTTTTTCCCTGTCTTTGTCTTTGTCTTACACCACCGATACGCACATACACACAATTACCTCCTTTGTTGGGCTTTCTCGCTCCAAGGCTTCTATTTCCCGAGCTTCCATAGCGGACTTCCCAACTCGCTCCTTAAATTTCTTGGTGCAAGGGCTACTTGATCCTATGGTGTCAAGAAGAAGTCGGATGGGCCAAGTTCTCGTGGGGTTCCCACGTCGTTGGGTTCAGAAAGGCCATTTTCCTACCTGACCAGCTTGTCTGGTGTCTCTAACCCCCCCCTAAAGGGACTTCAAGTGGCCGAATGCCCCTTCAGTTTCCGGGGGAGCTTGTTGTTTCCATTTCCATCCTTTCAATGCTTCCCTCATCCCATCATCAGCTATGACATTGGCTCCAGCTCGTCTTTCGTGGCTTCTCTCCAGCCGCAGCAGCAGCGATGCCCCTCCCCATCAACAGTTCGCTCCAAATTGGCCCATTGACATCCCTCCCCCTGTGTGCCATATCCTTTTCTCCACTCTTTTCCAGTTTTACTGCTTCAATCCGTGCGAGCCCCTTACTATGGGCTCTATACCCTCAACTCCCGTTTCCTCGTTTTGTATCCCTGCTTTTAGCTTCCTGAACCGCCCGAAATAGTGTCGAGGCAAATGTTGTGAAAAGAAGTTTGTTTCAGCACGTTCCCAGTTAATGTTCCCCTTTCTGACACACGTACACCAATGTTTGCATAGCATTGTCTGTTTTTTGTCTTACGTTTGGGCATCCTTTTGGCGTCGATCCGGCACTGACAAGCCTCAAGGAATTTTTATGCACCTACCATCAAGTCATATACCGTATAATATTTTCTCACTCCAAATCGCATCACCAACCAGGGCTCTGGTAAGGTACGTATGCTCCTAGAAAATGGAGCTTAACATTGCTGCTTGCTAACGCTGGCAGGACGTCGGTGGACAGCGTTCGGGAGCCCGGGCAACCCATACAACAAAGTTGCTTATATGTAAAGTTGATCTTGTGAACAGCCAGGTTGCAACCGATGGACGGCGGTACTCCTCCAACCAGGCAAAAAGCAGCTCGAGAGGCAAAGGGGAAAAGCAGGGCATCGTCGGAACCATCGAAGTTGAATGGCCCTCCCGGGACTCATCGACAGACGCGTAAGTTCTTTTTCCCTGTATAATGCTGCCAATGAAATGCGGAGAGGGCCTTCAAACTGAGTATGTCACGTCTAGGGACAGCGTCTTCTCGTCGAGCTGAAAATGTTCAGCACTATCCAGAATCACACACTTACATTACCCCGGTCGGCAACTATGGACATCCACCGGCCGTTATGAGCATGGGAAATATGGCGTCTGCATTACCGAGCTACCCGTCCAGTCAAATTCAATTCGATCAGCGAAGTATGCAGCAGCAGCAGCAGCAATTTGTTCCTGTCGCACCGAACCCTGGCCTTGTGTACGGCATGCCACAACCCCAATCGTTTCCTACACCCACAACAAACCCAACCATGATGTTCGGTGCTCCTTATCCTCAGATGTATATGCCCTATGTTCAACAGCAACAGCGGCACCCAGGGACTCACCCTTCTGACGCCTCTAGATTTTCGCCTATTCCACCTCCTACCCCTCGGCCTGGTTCTGCCCAGGGTTCAATGGATGCGTATGGGCCAAGTTATTATAATTCGTATGTGTACACACCAACACAGTGGCATCATCAGAGGCCTGAGACGATTTCAGCTGCTTCTCCGCAACCGCAGAATCAATCAGACATGAGCACGCCCAAAACAAATGAGGACCGAGAAAAGGAGGACCAGAGACGAATCACAATAGTTGATGGATCAACGCATATGAGATCATCTACCGCACAGGGCTCATCGGCTAGTAAGCAGGCAATGTCCCCTTGGCTCGTTGTTCTGATACTGGTAAGGAAGCTGATAGTGGTGATGCTATTTAGACTCTACCTCACGTCCATCAAAATCAAACGCACCAAAAGGACTACCCAGAAAACCGAAACAATCTGGCAATGCCCTGTGGGTTGGGAATCTCGCACCAGGAACCAATATAGTCGAACTCAAGGATTACTTCTCGCAGGATGCCACAAGTGACTTGGAGAGCGTCTTCCTAATTTCAAGAAGCAACTGTACGTTTGTCAATTATAAAACTGAGGAAGCTTGTTTGAGAGCATTATCGAGGTTCCACGACACCAGACTACGAGGGGCGCGGCTCGTTTGTCGGGTGCGCCGAGGGTTGATGTCCCCGGGGCCGCACAGCGAGCTCACGGGCTTATCAGACCAGTCTTCAATAAAAGAGGCGGAGGAGATGGTAAAATCCAACATCACAGAAGATGAGGGGCGAGAAGGGTCATACTCCACGCGGGTGTGTAACCGATACTTCATCTTGAAAAGCTTGACGGTCGAGGATCTCGAAATCAGTTGGCAGAGTGGCATCTGGGCCACCCAGACCCACAACGAAGAGAGCTTAAACCGAGCCTTCGAGGTAAGCATCTCCATCGATAAGGTTGCAGATAAAATTGGTCGAAGTTAATTAGATGATACTAGATGTCAGACAACGTCTATCTTATATTTTCCGCAAACAAGTCGGGTGAATACTACGGATACGCTCGGATGATGTCTGCGATCAGGGACGATGAAAGCCTCACCCTCGAGATGCCACCACGCCCGGACCACTCCCCCTCCAAAGAACCCGACAGCCCAGACGTCACGCCAACCCCTGCATCGACTTCAGCCCCAAGCGGCCGCATCATAAACGACATTGCGCGAGGCACAATATTCTGGGAGGCAGATACGTCGGAGGACGAAGAGGGCCATCCCGGGTCACATAAGAGCACTCTTCAAGCACCCGTAGAGAAGCACGGCACCGCTGAGATCCAGCTAATCGGAACGCCGTTTCGGATTCGGTGGCTCTCCACCGAAAGGGTCCCCTTCCATCGAACACGGGGTTTACGCAACCCCTGGAATGCAAATCGCGAAGTAAAGATAGCTCGCGATGGCACCGAGCTGGAATGCTCTGTTGGAGAAAAGCTGGTGCTTTTATTTCATCCCGAAGCGTCGGGGTGGCCTCAACCATAATGACGTTACCTCACTGACCCTTGAGCTTTCTTCCTTCGAAGCACAAGAAACGAACGGGGTCAAAATGAACGACCACGAAGACGAATACGGCCTAAAAATAAAAATAAAAGAGGAATAGACATGGAATACCTAGGTATGTAAATAGTACAAGAAATTATACAGTACATGAGGTATAGATCCGCGTAGAAGCAATGGGACATAAGACATAATGCGCAGCGCCCGCGCAGCCCAGACAAGACGCAGGCGATGCTTAATCCTGACGTCGTTTCAGTCCAGACCCCAGACCCTTCTCAGACTAGCCCCGTTCTGGCCCACGGTCAGCTCCAGATTGTCCAGTCGGGCTTCTGCAGCGAGCCCGGGACTTTTGGGTATTGTGGGGTAGCAGCCTTAGCTTAGTCCGTGACTCCAGCTCGACGTCCCCCTCCCTTCCCTTCGCCCTTTGTTCTTCCTACATTACACATCAGTACTCCTCCTCTTCTGCTTGTCACTTCAATCCCTTTTCTTCTTCCCATCATCTGATCTTCATCTTCCCTTCATAGCTGCATTGGAGCTTGACCCAAGCTCCTGTTCCCTCTGGAACGGAAGCTTCTGTCAGCCAATCACTGGTGCGTCTTGTCCTCCCACAATAAATCATATCTCGCCTCCCCGCTTCTTGCCTCTCAGTCTTGTTCCATTCCATTCGTCCTGTGATCGTCACTCTCCCCGCTTTTCGATTCCCTGCTTTTGTTTCACCTATCATTGCCCCCCTGCTCGATTGGCATTGTGTCACACCACGCCACCTCCCGTATCGAATGATCTGCGCTAACTCCTAGAAATTGACACTGTAGCTTTCAAATCGAGACCACATTTCCTCATCTGCAATCCCTTTGTGCCTGTCCACCTCGAAGCTGCACTCGGTGCCCAAGTTGACGTCGTTTGCTTGATATCGCTTTGAGTCCCTTTCGACTTGGACTGCCCGTTATATATCTCCATCTATCTGCCTACCCCGCAAAACAGCAATCCAGCTAACTGATCGACTTTCCCATTGCATCCTAATTACTTCCTTTATAATGTCGAACCACAGCTCGACTCCTCCAATCACAGTTCCCCCATCGTCTTCGCGCCAGCGTCGAGCGTCCATAGCATCAGGGCTCTCTTTCCCGGAATATAGATCGGGCAGCCAAAGCCTAGGTGGGCCCCAAGCTGGTTCTATGGCTAGTGCCATGGCCAATGCTCAAACAAACCAGAGACGCCGGTTATCTATTACAACCTTGGGACTGTCCGGATCGCCAACCCAACCTCTGCAGTATGGAAATCGAAACTTTCGGCAGGGCAGCATCTCCAGTTCTGTGGGATCTAGCCCAGGGAATAACGAAGAAGCGGTTGCAGAGGATGTTGAGAACTCCCCTCCCGGCGGCGTGCCGAGATCCCCGTTTGCCCGCCGTCTCTCATTTGGTGCTCAGGCATTACGAGATGCCCGCGCTGGAAGCATTGGCAACGGTAGATACCACCTCTCTCCCCCTATATCACCCGCGGCTGGAAAGCACCGGACGAGGTCGTCTGCCGGCCTGTCCAGCCCTTCAACCAGCAATAGCATTTCGGGAACATTATCTGCAAGTACAAATAAAGGTCTTACCCAGAACGATATATCTAACAAGTCTCGACGACCAATAGGCGAGGGCTTCAACTGGTCTGAAGCTCTTCGAGCAAGGGCTGAACGCGGGCCCATATCTCCAAATTCGGCTCAATCCCAGCATACCCAGCAGGCTCCGCATAGACGGGCTGCGTCCATCGCGTCCATGGACCAGCCAGCGCGGGAAATGCCAAAACAACCCAAGCAAAACAACAAACCGGATTTTTTCCAGGAGAAGATCCTCAGGGGCGACTTTATGGATTAAAGTCACCCAATGCAATAAATGAGCTCACCAAAACTTGTCTCCTGAAACCTCATTTGACAAGCTTGGAATGTGGTAACAGCATCTTACGTATGACTGAAGACTATCATTGTCATAACTAAGACCTGGGAAATCGACGTTCTGTTTATTTCCAGGCCAACTACCAGCACATAATTTCTACTTTTGTCTTGGTTGTTTCAGCTGTTCATGTTACTTACCTTTGGTTTTCTTTATGCCGATTTTGCGCCGTGGCGCTGGGAAAGTGCATGCTCGCGTTCTTCGTCTACATTTACTATCATTCGACTTGAACATAAATGCCGCTGCTGGACAGAGAGACCAAGTCACACATGATTGATTATTCTTTTTTTTTTTTTTTTTGTTGCTGGGCTATTGTATGTATTTGGTCGGCGTTGATGCAACATGGATGTCATTTCGGTATTTGATTTGTGCCACCCAACCAAATTGCGCACCGGACTGACCGGGTTCCAATGATGGCATTTGTGCGATAACATACTTCATTTGTTGTATATGCTGCTACGGGACAGATGCGTATTCATTGCTATTCAATCTATCTTTTGCCTTGAGCGTTATGCTACTTACGATGTGGAAATAAGTTATCCTGACGGAGGGTTCAAATACTAGCATTTACGGTATTCTCTTGCCATCTCTTTCTTAATCCATGTGTAATTGTACAGAGGGTTGTGGGTCATTTCTGGGGTCGGGTTTGAATCTACGCGGCCTGGCCTAAATTGGAATGGCCGGTTGGCCTTTATTCTAAACAGGGCCCAGTATGTAGTGCAGCGGTCACGGTTACCACATGCCACGCTCTCAACCAATTAATTTATGACTGTGAAGACTATCACACTGATGGTAGCTATACTTAGAGACTTGAACGAAAAAAAGGGCTGTGTAACGTAGTATCTAAATCAAGAAAGTGGTAGCAAATACCCAGGGAATAGGTGGCCACTGCCAGCTATAAGGGGGGGGGTGAGACTGCGCTTAGGTAGGCATAATAGTCCGTTATAATTCTGCATGGGACTCTTGTTGCATAGCACCTTATAATGATCGCTAGACCTACTGACTAAAATTTAGCAATCGTGCCTCTGCCTAATACCTTCTAGCTTGCCAGAGCCCCCGATTAGCAGGACTTGCCTTATACAAGGTTGGACTAATGGGAGAGAATGTCAATTCTATTTCTAGATGTGGGATTGATAATAGTATGGTTAAACGCTGTTTAGTAGTTACAGGGCAGAACTGTCATGATATATGTATACCTATTACGAAGTCGGCTTAGGTAGAACTGTCATTCACACAGTCGCCTAAAACAAATCATCTTATCAAATAATCTTATTGCTGACCTGGATCCGCATAAACCCAAGAAAATATCAAACCATGGTCCACGCGTTATACATGTCAAATACTTACGCTGGCGGTCAATGTGCTGATGAGCCGGCCCTTGGTTCCTTTTCTTTGACTCTTCTTCACTGGCAAGGCCACGGGCCGTACTCTGGTCGAGAACATTCGCCGTAGATACTCGCTCCTCTGGAGGCGGCGGAACCCACTTACTGCCTTTCCGGGGGAGTATTCTCATTAGATTCATATCCTCTAACGTCTTTCCTTTGCCCACCCTCGAGCACGAAGAAGTAGACAAGCAACATTGCGACAAATAAGCAGTCGGCAAAGACGCAGATGTATTAAAAGTCGATATTCCTAGTTATAAATTGCGCGAAGAACCCTCTCAGTAAGCTCCAGAGCCAATTAGAAGCTGTTGCTATGGCCATTGCTTTGGCTCGATACCTGGCCCACGGAGGCAAAGAACATGAAATTGACAAACATCCAGATGCCCACCGTGGTAAGGGACTTACGACATCCAAAATACTTGACAACATAAAGACCAAGGAATGTGGATCCAAAATTAGCACCTTCTAGGATCATTTGTGTCACGAATGTGTTGTCGATTCTGGCTCTGTTTGAATATATAATGGTGCCTGGGACGCCAATCAGTATACCATTAACATTGATGATCCCGGTGAAGCAGGAGTTCTTCACCTCCTACATCAATATCCGGGTGGCAAAAGTCGACATTCACCGTTTGCACAGTAAAAAAAGCATTCACCACAAGGTCACACAGGAAAACCTCACTTGTTGCTAGTGTTGTAATGGAAAGGTATAAATGGGCCTCACATAATTGTGTTTAATGAGAATATCATGCACTCTTTTCATGTTGAATCTGTAGAGACTTTTCCACGTATACAATTAGCCTACATGTGACTACAGCTGCCCTTTGAGGCCCACGATTGTAGATTTACTTGTGTACAGGAAGTATCAGGTAAACCAAATGCAATGAAATGCAGAAGTGTTCCAGCGGTGTTCCAGCTGTGTACACACCTAGAGAGATGTTTTGCGGAGAAGTTTACTATGGGACAGTAAAGTGGGGGGAATGAATGAATGAATGACAATGGCCATGGCTGAGCCCAAAAGAGGTTAAGTTGTGCCATTTTGGGGATTGAAAGCGATTAATCGTTGGTTGGCGCATGCACATGGGTGTAGATATGGGAGAGAGCGCGCGCACAACAGTCGTAGTGCTGACATCAGAAAGATCCTACCCCGGATTCGGAAAACTTACCCATTCGTGTCACGAACGAGAACTCTATATAGAATAATTACAAAACATGTCCTAGTCAATGAGCAAGCATGTATTGCGGCTGGGCTAATAGGCCGCCACCCTAGTACGGAATGCCGTTTGTTAGGAGCTGGAACTGGTCGTATCCCTTTGTAGACACACTCAAATAGGATTTGCGCACCAGCTCGCGCATAAACTCCGCCGCTTCTCTCTCGCTCTTGTCAAGCACAAATCGATCGCGGAAGTGCTTCAGCGTCTCAGGCTTGAAGCAAGGCAGGCCACTGTCCAACATCAATGCCACGATGTGCGACAGTTTGGCGCTATACGGTCGAGACGCGAGGAATGCTTTCACGACCAGAGACTCAAACCATCGGTATGCTTGAGTCTGCGTAGGATTGTGAGACGCTCCTGGTAAACGCCCGTTGCCAGAGCCACTATGACCGCCTGCATGGGATTGTGGAGTGCCACTCATCACGGCCACCATTTCTGATGTGAGCTTAAACGGTGCGCGCTCGAAGCGTACTCCACCGGGTGCGATGTCGAAGCAGAAACCAAAGTCGATATGAATAATATGGCCGGCGTCGTCGAACATGATGTTACCGTTGTGTCGATCCTTGAACTGCATCAGATAAGAAATGACGGAATAGGCTGCCATGCTTTTGACAAAGTTTGTTCGCGCTTCCTGGAACTGGATTGAATCCTCGCCGCCGTACTTGGAAACGAAATAGTCATACAACCCATTGACGGCTTCTCGGCCGAGCATATCCCGAGATATCGAGTTTGGCAGGACGTCGATGACCCCACATCCCGGTGCTGTAGATGTCACTCGATATGGGAACACCCAAACGTCAAGCCCGATACTTGAAAAAATACCTCGGAAAGCTGCGATCATCTGCAAAGCGAGCATATCTTGACGGCAGTCGTCTCCAACTTTGAAAATAGCCGACTGCCAGACCTCATAAGTCTCCTGGTGTGAGTTCGATTGGCGATTTTGCGTTGGGTTGGATGCAGCCGATGCTAAGCCCCTAGTGGCGTTTTCGTCCCATCGTGTGCGGGTCTTTTGAATCCTGAAAGTTGCCAAATAAGGTGCCTTTGCATGGCTTTGCAGAGGCTTCCCCGACTTGCGATCGATACCCACCACGACACCGTCAGGGTTACTAGGGAGATAAACACCAACTTCAACGTTGATCTTGCGGAGCTCTTCCTCAATCTTTTCCTTCTTTTCTTGTTTGCTTTTCTTGATGTACGGGCGGAGTTTACCGGAGACCCCCGTGATTTCGTTGAAGAACGAGAACTCTCTTTGGTAGAAATTGCGTTCATCCTCGGTAAAACTAGTAACCAAGGCGTCCATAAACCTATCTAAGGTCGGCTTGAGAGGATCCGGCTGTTCGCCCCGTTAGCAATGAAGTATGGACGGCCGTGATCTCCCCACTTACGACTTGAGAATCCTCATCTTTGTAGGAATTGGCTTTCATATTCCATATCACTTGATGAGCAAACAGTTGAGATTGTTTTGCAGTTTCCAGGATGTACCGCTCGACATAGCCTAGAGCATCATAGCGAAGAGCTTGTACCAATTGTGGAACGAAGTAAAACCTAACATCAAGAGAATGGCTCTCTAATGCTTTCATCGCATATTGCAAAATGAAGGGGTGGTTGCCATACGCAGGCAAGAAATAGGTTAAGCCTTCGATTGGGTTGACGGGGGCCCAGTATAGCAAGTACTAATGAAGTTAGCCTTGGAACAAAGCTTAGCCCGAGCATACTACTTACTTTGAGCTGAGAGGAAACATCGGCTGGTAGTGCTGATTCGAACATAATCTCAAGACTACCAGGCTCATCAATGGCCTTTTCCGGAAAGCTAAGGAGCAGCTTTCGAATGTCATTGCTGAGTTTTCCAGACGGGAACCGTGTGGCAAGCTGGATAGCCAGCCCAGGACTCTCAGCCCAGGCAATCCGCAGCATATTCTCCTAAAGACAACATTAGAACACGGCCATCGGTTAGTGCTAGGGTAAAATTTGAGACGAACCTCTGTGAGATGTTTGCTGAGAGGAGATTGGGCTACGTTATGCTTCCGATCAGGCTCTAACGGAAACAACCAGACCTTGAGTCGCGATCTTTCGTTTTCTATTAGTACCTGGAGAAGATCCTGTTTCGCCTGTAATGATGTATATGGCCATCGAGTGTTGCAGCCAACAGAAGAAGCTTTCGCTAGAGCAGTTATGACATCGTTCAGAATCTTGTCTTCGGCTTTCAGCTGCAATCTATTGCCACCAAAGGACCATCTAAACACTTAAGCATAAGCAATAATTTCCGATTAATTCAGTAGGACGAAACTTACTTAGGCGGGTGGCTAAACCAGCTAAGAGCAGAGGACAGAATTTGATGTTTGAGCTTCCACAATGTCACATTATCAAGGGAGACACAATGCCTGAGAACCCTAAGACAAAAGGAAACTATGCGGAAATGTAGCTCCCGGGCCAGTGGATGATTGCTGGCATGCAAAAGTCCCACTGACGTACTGTCAATGAAACGACAAAATACACGTTGAGTCTGAGTATTTCCTAGTCGGATAGCATTAAAATGACTCTCAAAGAACTGTATGACCTCTAAATGTGGCGCAAGTATATTCTGTGCCAGCTTCTGTTGTTGAAGCATCGAATCCTTGTTTGTTGGCAAGAGTTCAATTTTGGCATACATTGGGTCGACATGACTAAGTCGCCATTACATATTAATATCAAATTGAGTGATGAAGGAGGCGGTGGCTTTACTTACTTGAATGAGGGGTTAAAGAGTCCCTGTCTTCGTAGGACTGTCTTCTCCCATTCCTGAACCACCGCGAACAGAAGCGTTGGTTCCAATCTAGGATTTTCGTGGATTGCGCCCAGCCAGAGCGAGATACCAATGCTGATGGACTCTTGAGAAAATATCTGGAACGGCAGTGAAACGAGGTAATGGGCAATAGTAGCGTGTACAAGGTTGCTGCTACATAATAGCGCAGCAGCACGCTGCAATGCATCTCTTACTTCAGGAAGAGTTACATGGTTTCCTGATTTGATTGCGTTGCAAATGTTGAATAATACATTTTCCATGCTCTTACTTGACTCGAGTGAGGATAGCGAGGCGGCAATCGAATCGTAGCCCGACACTATGTACCATCAGCTCGAGAAGTCCTGGAAGTACTTGCAATATTCGGACTTACCACCGTCTTTAGAGTTAGAAAACTCTGGGCTGCTAGTGTGGAGTCTACTAGGGCGACGATATTTCTGACGGGCTGTGTGTTGAGCAATGAAATTCGAGGCAACATTGACCTTCATCAACCCATGGCTTTCGATCGAGCCTAAGTCTCGGTGAGAGCTGTGTTAGGCATGCTTTTACGATGTTCCCCAAGCGCTTTCGCACAAAGCACGGGTGGGCATTAGGAGAACTTACCGATTCGGTGGTCGGTTTGTGGTATAAGGGATCCCATTTCAAGTGCAAATGAACGGCCCATTGAGACATCGCCATATCCATCGTTATCATCAGACGCGGATAAATAGCTCTATTGCCTAGTCAGCTGACGTATCCGTAAGGGTCCATAAAATACACACCTGAAGGAGACCCTTCATATCAAGAGGCGCAATGTCCATGACTGTCGTTATCCACACCCTTGCTCGTTCAAGCAATACGTCAAATGTCTTTCTTCTGTACCCATAATTATCGGGAAGGTCGACCTTAACATGCCCTATATGAGATGTGAACGAGGACCTCCATTCGAACTCGTCAAGTTCTTCTTCAAGACAAGACCGCCACACGACAGTTAGGAGCTCGAGCACTGCAAATAAAGAATGCTTCTCACATAGAGCCGATGGGCACTCCTGTATAATTTTGTTTGCGCACATGATAGCTACCGTTTGAATCCTTTCTATTCGATGGCAGCAGGCTATGAAGAAACCTGCTAATTCTTTCGATAGAAATGGAATAGAGAAATCTTCATGTCGGCCAGCGAGCGTCAATTTAAGATAACAGCCCACAACCTTATCCGCAATGGCGGTCATACAGCTAGCCATCTCAGTAGTAGCAAGCGCAGGATCCCGGAAATAGCCCAGTGGCTTCGTACATGATCCCGAGAATGCACGTAAATTCTCAAGCAACAAAGCAGCGTTCAGAAACACTGCCTTGGGGTAGTTTAAACGCTTTATATCGAGCTCCCGATGGGGCAATTCACCGACCAACCCTTTCTTTTGCGCGACGAGTCGTTGTGGGCCCATGCCGCGCCTGAGGACAGTATTAAGCTCCACGTCGCTCTCAATCATATCCATACGGTCTTCGGGCACAAGAGGAGGAGAATATTTTGCGAGCAAGCGTAACTCTTCGTAATGATTTCGTCCGACAGCTGAATTGAGCGATATTCCATGGACGGCGATATTGAACCACGCGTCGCGGAACAAAGTAGATACATCCTGGTCATAATGCTCTAAACGCTGCTCAAGCTCCGTTTGGGAAGATACTAACAATGCCAACGGCTTTAGGAGAGGACTGATATCTTCAGGCGCAAAGGTTATATCTTTGTGTCTTTCATGCTCGAGGTTTGTTGCATCGCCTTTGTTCACTATGCTTTCCAACAAATGAACAAGATAAACTCTGTAAAGTGGGGAGCTTTTTTCAAGCGAAAGCGAAAGGTACGTCATTGCACTTGAAACCGCGCTCACGACATTTTCATATCCCTTGGCAATGCCATCATGAAAAACACGGTCATAGAATTTCAAAAGGAGTTGGAATTCAGCTTGCGCTGTAGTTATAGAGAGCGCTGCTGTTTCCTTGATGATACAGGAGTCAACTGTAGTGTTCAATTTGCCAATTTTTTGTAGAAGCATCGACTGTGCCAGGGCACTGATCTGTTCATCGTGACAACTGGTTGCAATCGTTATAATAGCGTGAACAATGCTGCGGTATGGTGTATTGTCTTCCGTCTCGTTCACGGAAATGGAGGCTATGCTTCCGTTTTTGGTTTTTTGGAATTGGCTGAGAGTAAGCCCTGTAGGTTCCCCATTCATTTGACCTGGATATGGCTTGTCGCTACCAGACCCCGGACTCAGAACATTTCCTAGCGAATAAAGGGTGGTTATGACTGAGTCCTGAGAGAGAACGCCGAGAACTCGAGAAAGACATTGGGCAGCAACAGATCCTATGACTCCCACCTGTATACCGCCTTCGACGATGAATCGTAGGAGCGAGCGACTTCCAGAGGACGCGCTATTGATAGATGCCCGGGAGATAATTGTTATGCACTTCAAAGTGGTCGTCGCAAGTTCGGTGCATGACATTTGACTCGGGTCTATAAGGGTATCTTCTAGCCATGACAGAAAGTCATCGCTATTTGCTGTATCCTTGTTTATGATGATACAGTTGAGATACCCCATCAAGGCTAGTGCCTTCACAGAAAAAGCAAGTCGCTGTTGCCAGGGTGAGCCAACTTGTAAATAGTCGGAGCTATCCTCCAGGAGTTGGATTTCATCACCAATGATGGCGGTTAGGCGATTGATAAGGGATATCTCAGCCTCATCATGACTCCTTGCAATACCCACCCCATCCACATAGTCATCCAATAGTTCATCATCTGACATGTTCTGCGCCCCAAATAGAGATGTGACGCACGATTTAATGAATCGCATGTAGCTTTCCTGCAGAAGCATTGCTCCTAGCGGGCGGCCTTTGGCAGTATAGCGGCGAGTATATCTTCTCCAATCCCGAAGTGCTCTGTCTAAAACGCCTGCACTGCGTACCGTAGATGAAGCTGTCTCAATCGCCACCATACAGTTCTCTGAGAATATTAATCGCAAGCGGTCGACCATCCGCAACTTCTCAGTGGCAGACCAAAATGCAGTGAATTTGGCTGCGGCTTCTAGAAAGCCAACAATCGAAACACAAATAGCCAGCATGTTGACAGACTCATGGGCAGAATCAAGTGCATTATCCCCCGAATGACATGGCGGAGCAGATATCAGAACATTGACTACCTCCGTACAGTTATATAGATATTCGTCGACAGAACCAAGGACAGTCTCGCGCAGCGACGGATACTCGGACCCAAGATGGAGAAGCGCAAATGTAAGGTTGTAAGAAAGCGCCTCCCATGGCGCCGGTTCAATATCGTGTAGGAATGGCGATGGGCGAAAAACCTGGCCATGGGACTCCGGGAGGTACTGAGATAACTGAGACACCAATTGGGACGCATGCTCCTCCTTAGTGACCGAAGGCGCGGCTTTGCACAAAGACACTAAGACACATAATTCTCGAATGTCCTTCAAGAATCAGCCTTTGTTCTGTATAGCGGTGTCCTTTTTTGGTTCTTGTTTGTTTTTTTAACCGGGGCGGGGGGGTTGGAGGACGCACCATAGGTACCTGGGACACCGGTGATTGACTGTGCAATACGCCATTGAGCATACCATTCGATCGATTTCCCAAAATTTGACACTGTCGAGTGAGTTGGTTGATCTCGGTATTGTCACTGTCTTCTGATGCGTTGACAGCTAATTTCGCGAGCTTCTCCAGGGCGGAGGCACGAATACTGGGATTAAAGCTAGCTATCTGTCAGCGTCGTCATTACAAAACAAGCAATTCAGTATAATACGTACTCATCCATTGTATATGGGCCTCGAGTACAACGTTGATTATGCGGGGGCGCGTGTTCTGTTCATGAATTGTGCCTTCTCACGCCCCTTATACGGCCAGGAGTTCGCACGGTTGTATGAACGATCCACGTGGGGCGCCTGGCGGCCTAGGTCCTCGGTCTTCATGAACTGCTCTGTGTCGAGGCTGATGACCTTGACATGGTCGATTCTTGATTATTATTATTATTATTATTATTATCTTGAAATTTTTTTCGTTTAATTGTGGGTTGCTTTATTCCAGTCCCTCCAATTTGAAAACCGTAAATGCGAAGAAGAAATGTATGAGAAGCTCCTCAAATACTCCCAGAGGAATGGTCACCAAAAGCTGTTTAGCAAGTTTTGTAGAATAATTAATAATGATACAAATAATGATTTTCTCTATAACGGTTGCTACTATCTTATAATAAAAGTTTCCCGTCGTAATCCTACTGTAGAACGTCTAACTTGGAAGTAACGTCCTGGCCCTCCGTAATTCCGTACATTAGGGGGTGAGCTACGTATGGACTCGAACGGGGCTGCGGTTTCCTTCCTTCAGAGACCCCGGCCGCCCGTAACTGTCAGATTGGCCAACAACTCGGGTGCTCTGATTCTTGCCTCACATTTAGAATCCTTTGCCTTCGTTCCCGACACACTTCTTTAATTTAAACCAGTTGTCGACGCTGGCACTTCTCCGCTCTTCTACCTGCTCTTGACCATTTTGGCTTATCAGGTTCTTGCTCGGGTGGATTCCGCTGCCGAGTACTCTCTCGCGAACTCTCACGCTAGAATGTGTGATTGGGACGATGGTACCACGGACTGAGAAGAGCTCCCTTAAGCGCAGGGTAGGTTATTGTGTTTCAATTTGCCTTAAATGATACTGATAATCTGCTTTTCCACAGGGTGCCGCAGAGTACGACGCACAAGATCAAAAGAAGCCCCGACGGTCTGGGAGGATCAGTTCACAGCAGTCACAAACTCCTGTTATACAGTCATACCTACCTACCCCCCTAACGCATCATGATTCAACTGCTACAGATCTTCGAAAGGAGATAACCGCTACTCCGCCAAGCCAAGCTCGTCTGCGCTCTCCGCCCAATCTAGACGCCTGCCAGCCACTTTCATCTCCTCCCGGTGATACACAAGCATTCTCACAATTTGTGTATCCTCCTCGAGCGTTTGCCGATGAGGTCGAAGATGAGGCTGCAGAAGGGGTCTGGGGTTACTTGATCCCTCTAGACGATAAGGTCAAAGATGCCCTTGTGCTTCGAAAACGTGATAGCTGTGACGATGACACAACTTCGAGTTCTAAGCCGATCCCCAAAAAAGGAGTCGCGAGCCAAGCCAAAAATTTCTCTTTAAAACAGCAGCCTAGCCGGCGCCCTGGGGGTTATCTTGTCGGACGACACCCAGAATGCGGTAAGTATTATTTGGACAATTTGCATGGTACCAGTTTGCTAAGATATCTCAGACCTGGCTCTCAATATACCCACGGTGTCTAACCGTCATTTCCTGGTGTTCCCAGAAAATAGAAGAGGCGACTCGGTGGCGATACTAGAAGATCTATCTAGTAACGGCACATTTATCAATGATGCGATTGTTGGACGAAACAAACATCGTGAACTAGAAGATGGCGACGAGGTAACTATATTAGACGAAGTCCGGTTTGTATTTAGATATCCTCGAACAAAAAACATCAATGGCTTCCGACAGCAGTATCGTGTCTTGCAGCAGCTGGGGAAAGGTCATTTTGCAACCGTCTATCTCTGCGTGGAACGCGCAACGGGAACGCAGTACGCGGTGAAGATGTTCGAGAAACGATCTGGTGATTCGCAGAAGTCCCAGAATGAGTCTCTAATGCAAGAAATCGGCCTCTTGATGAGCGTTAGTCATCGCAATTTGCTTTGTCTTAAAGACACCTTTGATGAAAGTGACGGGGTTTATCTTGTATTGGAGCTTGCTCCGCAAGGTGAACTTTTCAACATGATCATAAGTAAACAAAAGTTTACAGAAAATGAGACTCGCCATATCTTCCTTCAGCTCTTTGAAGGTTTGAAGTATCTGGTGAAGTTTCCTGTTTCCTTTGCGCTTTGAAATAATGCTAACATGGATGGCAGCATGATCGTGGAATTGTGCATCGAGACATCAAGCCAGAGAACATACTCGTTGCGGATGACAAGCTGAGCGTAAAGCTAGGTGACTTTGGCCTGGCTAAGATAATTGGTGAAGACTCATTCACAACCACACTGTATGTTGCAACCCCTCACCACTCACTTTGTCTGATATGGAAGTACTGACGAAATCAATCCAATTCACAGTTGTGGCACGCCAAGCTGTAAGTTTTGGATAGGCTCAGCCTGCACCCACCCGCTTCTCTCTTTTGAACTTTTTGCTCATTCTACAGATGTTGCTCCCGAGATACTTCAAGAAACTCGCCGCCGCAAATACACGAAAGCTGTTGATATCTGGTCACTCGGCGTTGTCCTTTACATATGCCTCTGTGGCTTCCCGCCATTTTCTGACGAACTTTATACACCGGAGAACCCTTACACTTTGGCACAGCAGATTAAGCTAGGCCGTTTTGATTACCCGTCTCCTTATTGGGACTCTGTTGGCGACCCGGCCCTAGATCTCATAGACAGGATGCTTACAGTTGATGTTGATAAAAGAATCACTGTCGATGAATGCCTTGAACACCCGTGGCTCACGGGTAAATATCCAAGTGTGGCTGATAGTACAGATGGCCTCACCGGTGCCTTGGGGAAATTAGATTTCTCCAAAAGGAAGATTGCACGGGAACGGACGCTTCTCAGCAGCATTAATGACGTTCAGTTTAGCCAGCAAAAGCCGGGAGGGGGGGCTCCGGTAAAGGTGTATCATAAAAACACTCCTGGTCAGCGCATGCACAATCAGAGGGCCTCGAGGCAGCATGAAGAATCCCCCAATCAGAATAGTGGTCCCAAGGATTTTGTCAACCTCGGGGAACACGGCGATCCAGTTTTATTTGAAGAAGACCCGACTAGCCGGTACAATTAGGGTGTTTAGGGCTGATATCTTTCCCTGGTACGAATATATTGGTTGTGAGAATAGCTTGGAAACACCATGTTCTTCCAGACAGAATCGACAACCCCGTGAGAACCGCTCGAGTTTCGTTCAGTGTATTCCTATTTCCTACTATCCATTGGGTTGCGGGAAACTGCGGGGGTGGAGTAAAAAAGATATTCTACTCATACGGTCGTACAGACTACTACATATATTAATTTTAACTGGAGCAGAAGCAAAGTCCGGGCCGTTCTTGTAGGGAGAGTTGCATGGACCCCAGTAGTAAAAGAAACCTTCTGAGTCGCCGGGCGGATCCCGACAGCCCCTGTTGTGGCGTGACATAAAGTTCTCATTGAGTCTGGCGTCCAGGGGCAATAAACGTGGCGCTCGCCGCAGATCCATTTCTTGGGGCCCGACTTTTTTCCCACCTGGAGCTTCATTGCAGCCAAAGCACGCCTTTTTCAACAATCACACACTACTCGCTGGTCGTTGGCGATATCGATCCGACGCCACAAGGATATAGCGGGACCTAGGGCCTTGTTTATGAGGTGCTTTTCTGGTTCATAATCTCCGTTCTCAAGTTTCGCCTGTCTTCTCCCTTCTCCTGGTTATTCCCATTCGGCCGTCATGGGTCTCGTCGCCCTTGTCCTCGAAAACGTTTGCCAACGTTGCTCGAATCTGTCGGTGTGGGCACTCGCTGGCTTGGGATTGCTTGCCTTTCTTGTTGTCGCCGTCGTTCTGAACGTGTTGCGACAAATTCTCTTCAAAAACCCCAATGAACCTCCGGTCGTATTCCACTGGTTCCCCTTCGTGGGAAGCACCATCAGCTACGGAATTGATCCCTACAAATTCTTTTTTGACGCGCGCGCAAAGGTTTGTTACATGCTACAACCCGTTGTACCAGCTATTCTAACTTAGTACATTTCTAAATAGTACGGAGATATCTTCACCTTCATCCTCTTGGGAAAGAAAACCACTGTTTACCTCGGCACCAAGGGTAACGAGTTCATTCTGAATGGAAAACTCAAAGATGTGTGTGCCGAGGAGGTCTACTCTCCTCTCACAACCCCTGTCTTCGGGCGTCACGTCGTATACGACTGCCCCAATGCGAAGCTAATGGAGCAGAAGAAGGTAACCCTCTTCTTCACACTGTATGTCCAGCGGAATTCCAGATTAACAAAATTCAGTTCGTGAAATATGGCCTTACTTCCGACGCGCTACGCTCCTACGTACAGCTGATCACTGCTGAGGTGGACGATTTTGCGCAGAAATCTTCGGTTTTTCAGAACACCGAAGGCATCTTTGACGTGTCTAAAACGGTTGCCGAGATTACAATCTATACCGCGTCACGCTCTCTCCAAGGAAAAGAAGTTCGCGACAGATTTGACTCCACTTTTGCAGAGTTATATCATGATCTTGACATGGGTTTTGCTCCAATTAACTTCATGCTTCCTTATGCCCCCCTTCCGCACAACCGGAAGCGTGATGCTGCACAGAGAAAGATGGCCGAGACGTACACAGATATTATCAAAGCGCGTCGCAAATCCGGTGACAAAAAGGATTCCGAAGACATGGTCTGGAATCTGATGTCTTGTGTTTACAAGAATGGCACCCCATTGCCCGATCAAGAAATTGCCCACATGATGATCGCGCTCCTAATGGCTGGTCAACACTCCTCGTCCTCAACGCTTTCGTGGATCCTTTTGCATCTCGCGAGGCACCCCGAAATTGTGGAAGAGCTCTATGAGGAGCAAGTCCGGGTCCTAGGGTCGGATATGCGCCTGACATTTGATGACCTACAGAAACTGGAGCTTCATTCCAAGATCATCAAAGAGACCCTGCGCATTCATGCACCTATCCACTCGATTATCAGGGCAGTCAAAAGCCCAATGCCTGTACCTGGGACAAAATACGTTATTCCAACTTCCCATAATGTCCTTTCGTCGCCTGGTGTTAGCGCTAGGTCCGAGGAGTTTTTCCCAGACCCCCTAAAATGGAATCCCCACCGTTGGGACGAAAATCCAATAGCCAACTCTACAGAAGACGAGGAGAAGATCGACTACGGGTACGGCCTTGTCAGCAAGGGAACTAATAGTCCATATCTTCCTTTTGGTGCTGGACGACACAGGTGTATCGGTGAGCAGTTTGCCTACGTCCAGCTCATCACGATCACTGCGGCTCTTGTGAGGCAATTCAAGTTTGACACCGCATCCGAGTCGGAAAGACAATCTATCCCGGAGACAGATTATTCGGTAAGTAATATATAACCTGGCAAGATATAGCCTCGGCTAATTCAGTTGCAGTCCCTTTTCTCAAGACCTGCTGGTCAATCGTTCGTGCAATACAAGAAGCGTCAACGCGACGCCAAGGAATAGTTGCTTGTCTAAGATTAGCTACTTTCTTCCAGTTCCTCACCAATAATGGTACAAAAGAGTCCAACGAAACAAATAGAGCGAAGGGGCTCTGGCCCACAAGCTTGAATGAGACAAGACTCACTACACAGCAATTATTGTACATTTGACTGGTCTTGCTTCATCGGCCTGCTGCTTAGGTTCGCCATATATATTAATATCGAGTATAGTTTGTAATTGGGATGTTTGCAGATTCAAGTCATAAACCCCTGCCTAATCTTCATAACCCACCCTACCATGTACTTGGTAGTACGCATTTAAATAGTCGACACAGATTCAGTCATTAAATTTGCTCGAACTGAATTGGACTTCATGAATAATTCATGGGTTGGTTCAAAGTTTGAAAAATCTAATTAAAGCACAATTGAAAAAGCTATAGTACAAATAAACCCTGTTATACAACCTCAAAAACAGGTCTATCAAGCTCATGCAGACCCTTTCCTCCTCTCTTCAGCCCTCTTTTTGGCTCTCACCTCAGCACGTCTCCTTTCACCACCGTCAACCTTGTGGCCCAACTTGTCTTCCCACATTCCCTCCTGAACCTTGATCAAAGCTGCGCTGCCATTCGCACCCTTAATTGGCTGCAGAAATGGTCCCTTGATCAACAAGCCACGATGAAATTTCATATGCGCAAACTTCTTAGATGGCCTCGACAAATCATGTTTATATTCCGTGGCATCCGGTGGTAGGTTCACAATGACTCGTTTCATTCCGGGAGATAGAGTAGCCGAATAATCCAATGAGTTGGCGACGGGATCATTTCCCGTCTTTGAAATTCTCGTCGACGGCCCAGATGGGACTTCTGTTACCCGCAACTGAGCGGCACCATCCACGACATGCTCAAGGTCCCCGCCAGGTCCGTAGATGCCGTTTCTGAAATTCTCCCGTTTTCGGAGAAGGTAGCGTCGCTGGCGTGCTGGTTCGATTCCCGCATCCCGGAGTTCAGAGGAGCTCAGCGTGAATAGTTTCTCCCAAGAAGGAAGTTTGCTGACATGCTTTAACATGTCGCGGCCGATCAGTGTGAGGAAAGTTTGGACATCAGGGACGAATGGTGTTGGTGATGGGACAGTGGAAGTAGGCGTGGCTTTCTTGTGAATGGATCGGAAGGATTGTTGGGTTAATTGGAAAGACTTAACGGTCCGGGTGATTGAGAACGGGTTGCGCATTGCCATGGCGGATTGGTCTTTCGCTCCCCCTGCTAAGGATCGAGGTTGTATTGATGGCACGGGTGATCAATGTGAGGGTACAATGGAGGATATGCGGAAGAATGGTAAGGGTTAAGTTGAAACTCTTAGGTGCGCAGCAGGTTCTAAGAGGATAATTTGTACATCCTGTTGTTCTTAAACATCATGATACGGAGGGAAATTTCGGCGGAGCTTGAGATCTCAAGGATTAACGAAACTCCGACCCTTCCACATCCCAAAAAAGATGCAGTAACCAGATACCTACCTATCCGCCTACCTTTCGCATTCTATGGTGACGTGGTAATCAACTGGAAACTTCTAGTCCCGGTGTCCTCCTTCGCGTGGAAAGATTTAATTTCAATTTTCCCAATCTACAGAGCTCCTGACCCTTCAAGTTCCGACCCGACAAGTATTTGAGAGCTTATCCAGCTCATCCGAGCTAAAAGGGACATGGCAGTCTCGCCTCTCATTCCCCCGTCGCCCTCCGCGACAGTTCAACAGAAAAATGCTACTTCGGGGATCCCGCTCACAGCTCAGGCGAAGGTTTCTTCGCCACGACCCATGCAGCATGCTGCTGATCGCGAAATCACTGAGCAAATGAATGATGAGGTCAGGCATAAGTACATAAAAGGTATGTGCTATCTTATGTGGCTCGGCTTCGGCCGCAAAATATATTGCGGCAGTTACTAACTGTTTTCCTCTAGCTAAGAAATTAGGTGAAGGTACATACGCTGTAGTTTTCCTCGGTCACCTTCGAGCAGACCCGTCATCGTTTGTGGCTATAAAGAAGATTAAAGTCAATACGGAATATAAAGACGGGCTATCCATGGACGCGATTCGCGAGGTGAAGTATCTTCAGGAGCTCTCTCATTCCAATGTCATCGCGCTACACGACGTATTTTCATCTAAGGACCAGAATCTCAATCTGGTTCTAGAGTATCTGCCACGCGGTGATCTGGAAATGCTCATTAAGGACAGCGACATACATTATGGTGTTGCGGATGTGAAGGCATGGATGGGGATGCTCACCAGGGGCGTCTGGTTTTGCCACGAGAATTTCGTTTTGCATCGAGACATCAAACCCAACAACCTGCTTATCGCTTCGGACGGAGAAGTCAAACTGGCTGATTTTGGTCTGGCTAGATCATTTGCCGACCCTTATCTAAACATGACGCACCAGGTCATTACACGATGGTATCGGCCACCTGAACTTCTCTATGGTGCACGCCAGTATTCCGGTGCCGTCGATATCTGGTCTGTAGGAATGGTCTTTGCGGAGCTCCTCCTACGAGTGCCATTCGTTGCAGGAAACTCGGATCTTGACCAAATCACCAAAATTTGCGAGGCGTTTGGAACACCAAGCGAAGAAAACTGGCCCGGCGTTTCGAAGTTAGCAAATTACATTCCGACAGATAAGAATCAACTCGTGCCCGTGCAAGGTCGAGAGTTTTTCCTCAGACAATTTCCAATAGCTGGTCCTGTTGGCGCTGACTTGCTTATGTCCATGTGCACCTTGGATCCGAGAAAACGAAGCACTGCGTACCAAGCCCTCCAGCACAGCTGGTGGGCTACGGAGCCAAGTCCAACAAATAAAGAAGACCTTCCCCGAAAATCCGGTGGTGCAAAAAAAATGGGAGACGACTTGACTAGGCGTGGCGGGGAGCTTGATGACCAGTTCAAGAACACTGCGAGGCAGTTGGATTTCGGTGCAATGAAATGATTGCATGATCGACACGCTTTCCACCAACTAAAATTTTCAAGAATGCATGCGCATCCACGGATCTGAGAGCCGGCGTCATTTACGGAAATACCCATGCTATTTTCGCCTTTAAACATGCGATTCCGGCCGCTATTACATGAACTGCGCCCCGGCACTGCGGACAGAACGTAGTAGCCAAATAACAGACACAGTGCCGGCAATTAGATGTTAAATAGTAGAGTGGAAGCTTACAAAAAAGTAAGCCCTGGTCAGCTCGATATCATGGTGTCATGAAGGCTCATGGTGGACTATAGAACAAGTGATGCCCTCACCCATCCATTATTATGGGAAGCAAAGAAGGGATGAAATGATATCACCTAATCCCAATCTAACCACAAAGCCCAAGCACATCGGGTGACGGGTCCAACCTTCATGAAGTTCGTGCCAACGTGCAGTGTGCACAAGTTGGAACTTTGGTCATTCCTCGGGAGGCAGTCATGCACAGGGTTTTACGATGATTGGGTCCCCTTTTTTCCCCTTGTGTCTTTGAGGTACTCTTTTTCGGCGTCAGGGGTAAAATTGGGGCTTGTCGAAGTACATTTGCCCTCTTATTGGTCTAACGAGCAAAAGCCTTTTTATGAGAACAAAATGGGATCAACAAACCCTGGACCGACCAAGTAAAAGGAACGATAATATTCATGATTAATTCGTACGCTCAAGACGCTAGGATGAGCGAAAGGTCCAGATTTAGCCCACACCGCCTAAGCATCCGATACATATTCACCCTCACTGTCATGTGTTATTAGAGTGTATGTTGGGCATGGGCCAAGTGAGTGTGGCGTGTGCGACGGAACCAAGATCCAACCAAGATCTAATCACCAGTGGGAAAATGAGTTTGAAACAACGTTCCGCGGGTCAAGAGGACTCGAAAACCGAATTTCCCATATTATTATGCCGGCAGAATAAATACGTACTCGGGTAGAGCGTGGCGGTGTCGGAGCATCTTCATTTGGACCGACGACAGTGGACGTTTCTCCCGTCGTCCTGAGTCCTTTGAAGGGGGGCAGGGGATTCAGGACTGTAAAGCACGGGGTCGCGAAGAGAACGAGAGAAATTTCGTAGTCAGTTCCGTAAATACAGGGTATCCGCTGCACGCGCTCCTTGCCTAGGCAAGCGCTAGTATACAAACTTCAGGGGAGTCGAATCATAATAATAATCATTCATCGCGATCAACCTCTCAGGCTCTTCTCGACGACGGCCCAGCCAATGTGGGGTGACTCGACAACCACCAACTGAACATACCACAGCAATGTCATAACTACCAAACACGCATTCTTCTCACTTCTTTCACCTATCTTTCCGTCCTTTGCGCTGCTGCATCTGAAAGGGAAAAAAAAAAAAAAACACGGGTCCCCTTGGAGATTCTTCCCGTTCGTTGCCCTTGACCAGGGGCCTCCTCTATCCCACTCGCAACCTCGCCGGGACCAGGAGTAGTATCACCTCCTTCAACCATTTACAGGGCGACACAGCTCTCGTCGCCCGAGCAGGCATCGCCCGCTCCTAGCATTACTTTGCTACATTAATCCTGCATCAACCCCCTCCCTCTGTCGCCTCATATTGATTCTGTATCCGTCGCGGTTCCCAATTGAATCCGCTTCGCGAATTACTACGAGGGTAGTGACATATTCAAGCAACATAATTGACCAACGAAATACTGCCAGCCTGTTACATGCGACACGCGATTCCTTTCTAATTACATTACCTAGGTAGGTTCCCATTCTCGATCACTTCACAACACCGCTGTGCCGGAACGCTCCAAAGTTTGGAGCTCGACTCAGTACCTTAGTTCGAAACCCAAATAATTGAGCTTTTGGAACTCCCCGGTTTTGCCGGGTTCTCCCCTCAGCATGATCGTGTCCACAGAGCCTTATCTTCATTTCGATCCTGTTTTTTTTTTTTTTTTTTGGCACGCTTTAGCTGATTTCGTATCAACTACAGCTTCTAGCAGTGAACTCCTACCTCCATGTTTTTTGGTCCATGCCTGCGAGACTCGTCTGATTCCAAGCGCATAACTTTGACTGCTCTGCTTGTATAGATTGACGAGCCCGCCATTCGAAACACCATTTATCCATCTACACTGCAATGTCTGCATTGCCGCAACCATCCAGGCCTGTCGCCGGCCCACCAACGGGGACATTACCCCAATTGCCGGCCCCGAAATCGAGAAAGAGCCTACCAGCGTCCTCTGAGACCTCGAGGTCTTCTTCTCCTTCCAAATTACGGACACCATCTAGCCCCAGGCCAACACTGAGCAAGTCTCCACTTTCTAACTCAACGACAAATGTCAGCGCTACGAGATCAACATCGGCTTCTAGAGTCCCCAGCAGTCCTGATAAGTCTCTGCGAAGGACAATTAGCATCGCGGCTTTTCCTCAGCCACCAAGGCAGGGGAGTCGTCCATCGACGGCAACGTCAATGACAAATTCCCATGGTTTACATTCTTCTGGAAGTATGAAATCGAAAAGAGGATCCAGACCTAGCATTGGGGCCGCTAGTCAGAGAAGCTCGAAGACCCACTCATTGTTGAGCGCCGGCGGGGATGCTAAATCTATCTCACACGCAGACCTCGAGGCTTCACCATCCCAGAGTAGAAGCTCCTCTGCTGAGGGATCGTACTCAACAAGTGCCACTACCTTTGAGGATGGCGATGAGACGGCGGGGATAGCAAAATCGAGCTCGAAGTCCAGGGATACAAAGGAAACAAAGGGTAACGTTATAGTGAGCGTAAGAGTACGCCCGAATGTCGGCGGCGAGAGCTCGGCCAATCCCGAGTGGATGGTGGATGCCCGTCGAGGTTTACTTGTATACAATGGGAAAGAGGGCGGTGACTACTATTATGGTAACACCAGGCTGCGTGACAGATAGTCAGGATAAACGGCTAATACATTATGTTACAGATAACGTTTTTTCGGCGATTGAAAACAACGCTCGAGTCTACGACTCAGGCGCCAAACGTCTGGTGAGAAGGGTAATGGAGGGATATCACGGCACTGTCTTTGCTTACGGTATGACTGGAACTGGCAAAACCTTCTCTATGCAAGGCACCGCAACATCTCCCGGTGTGATACCGTTGGCAATCACAGACATATTCTCGTTCATTAGAGAGACCCCTCATCGAGAGTTCCTGCTTCGCGTCAGCTATCTTGAAATCTACAATGAGAAAATCCATGATCTTCTTTCCGCTTCCATTGGACCTGTTACTTCCCAGCAGGAAGAGATCAAGTTACGTGAGGATAGCAAACGAGGCGTATACGCCACGCCATTGAAAGAGGAGATCGTGCAAAGCCCAACACAACTTCTTCGCGTTATTGCGAGAGGCGATCACGCAAGGCGGACAGGTAGTACTCAATTCAATGCCCGCAGTTCGCGAAGTCATGCAGTGGTGCAAATTGTTGTTGAAAGCAGAGAACGCGTGCCTGCGGGGGCTGCCCAAGATAGAAGATCGGGGTTAGCCCCTGGTGGAGTTCGAGTATCAACACTGAGCTTAATTGATCTAGCAGGATCTGAACGAGCAGCGGATGATAAAGAACGACGTACTGAGGGGGCTCATATCAATAAGAGTCTTCTCACTCTAGGAACGATCATTTCCCGGCTTTCCGAGACCAAAGACAAAACTGGAACTTCAGCCGATAAAGAGGGAAAACACCTACCTTTCCGCGACAGTAAGCTCACGAGATTGCTGCAACCAGCTTTATCCGGCAATTCCCTTGTCAGCATTCTTTGCACCGTCCAACTAGGGAGTTTAATGAATGCCAATTCGGGCGAGACTTTGAACACCTTGAAATTCGCCGCGCGAGCTAAAAACAACATTGTCAGTCATGCTAAAAGAGCAGAGGAGGCTTTCGGTGGTGGTGGGGGCGATGCAGGAAGCCGTGTGCTACTCGAACGTTATCGTATGGAAATTCAGGCCCTACGTGGCCAGCTTGAAAGTCAAACAAAAGACCAAGCCGAGAAAGAGCTAAAATTGGAAGAGCAAAAACTAGAACAGGAAGCGCATGAGCGGCATGAGGAGCAGATGCTGGAAATGCAACTTGCTCGAACTGCCCTAAAGGAACGTATAGAGCACTTGAATCGGCTCATTTTAAGTTCCAAGTCCACAGGCGTGAATACGCAGGGCGCCGTCTCTGCTCTTGGCCGGCTATCCAGAATGTCTTCCATTGATCGTGGTTCTCGCTCCCTACGCTCTTCCGTCAGTCAATCCACACTCGGGGCTTATGGGCACTCGTCTACGCGGCCCGTTTCGTTCCTTTCTGTTAATAGCCAGGATTTCCCTGTGAATCTACCTTTAGGTAATGACGATGAAGAGGATATGATGGGCGAGTTTGCGGACGGAAAAGCAAGTGCTCAGAGACAAATTACCGCTCTTCAGGCTGACCTTACGGATAAAAATCGATATATTGCAACCTTAGAGAGACGGCTGCTCCAGGCCCGGCGATCCAGCCACTCCCGCATGTCCATGGGTATTAAAACGGGCACTTCATCGGAGAACCCCGATCTCGTTACCCAACTCCGGGAAAAGGATATGGAAATCAACGAACTTCGTGTTCAACTCGATGATAAGGATAGAATGCTTACAGCCCTTCGCTCCGCTGCTCGACATCGGGACCTGGCTGAGCTTGCATTAGACACCCCGTCCTCGGGCCCCAAAGAAAAATCTAGTTCTCCAAACGGAGAACAAGAGTCGACGGCCCCTGGCTCAGCTGCAAACCGCCTGACTCCCTCGGCAGAACTTGATCCAGCGACGAAGAGAAAGAGTATGGACGAAGTATCACGAATACTCGATGAAATGATCCAGGATCGAGTTGAGAGCGGCCATTTGATAAAGGGTTCACGTGGGAGCGTCCGCGTTGCCCCAGAAAGTCGACCAACATCCGAATCAAACCAGCCCGGGCCGAGTCTAACCCCAGGACCAACAAACACAGCTCAATCGAACAACCGTCTGGATGCTACCTAGTTTGCAGCCCAACCTTGTTTTCTAGGTTCTATGACATCCATTTGTTAAATCTGATTCCCAAGTCATACTCAAACCTGGTGCCGATGATGGCTCAATTTTTGTCGGTGCTTTGCTTGCTGTTGACATTCTCATTCCTCACTTCCTTTCAGATACCCAGACTGTCTTTTTATATGCTTATGGTTTGCTTCTCTGGATGTTTTACTGTTCGTATGTTCGGTTGCACTGGCCGGTCTTTCTCGTTTTTTTGAGCTTGTACCTGATGAAGACAAAGATAAGTACATATATGAGGACAATGACCACCTGTAATTATTGTCTTTTAGCGAGTTAGTATTTTACTCTTTCAACCATTACTACTAATTATAACTTAGCTCGAATGGATTAATTAACCTTAAGTATACACAATTTATACTCTTGAAGGTGGTTCGCGCACTCGTGCATGTTGTTTGTATATTTTAGTACTAAATTTTGCAGGTCCCACACTCCAAAATAAGATAAGCGCTTCAACCTCCACGTTAACATGATGCTTATTTCATACTGTAGCAGATGATGAGCTCTGGGTTATGCATGCCACCAGCAATTCGCTCCCTAAGTACTAAATAGCAAGTAGTAGTGCGAAGCTATCACCAACACAGTCCAGTGTCCATGGCACGTAAATTGATTTTATAAGCAAACAATAATACTTGCGTATTTATGAAACTATCAGACAAGCAAAGTTCATCTAGAATCCGAAACATGGTCTTTCAGGCCACAATCTCTATGTCAGCGACCCTGTCTTTGGCATAAACGTCTTTCCATTCATTCCACAATCTTTCAAGTTCTCTCACATACTCTGTGTGGAGCAGGTCGATGTAGTCGTCATCGATTTTATTCCTGTCTTGCTGCTGGACTACATGGATAGGACGACCAACGACAATATTCAAGGGGCGCCGGTATGGCATTAAGCCAACATCATAGTTGAAGACTCCCCGAGCATGAAACAAGGGGACAGTGAACCCAAGCGTCTGCTTCACCATCATTTGAAACTTGTGGATGAGGGGATGACTGTCGGAGCGGACTTGTTCATATAAATCGTTCTCCCCGAACGCCAACACGGGTACGAGATCTGCACCAGTCCGAATCGCCAATTTTATAAATCCCTTGCGTCGCTTCAGGACAAGACGTAATGAGCCTGGAGATGCATTGAGGGATTCCCGTGCACCACCTATGACAATTGTAATGGCACGTCCCATCCCTTCGCCATCTACTCCACCTCTAGTGAGGATATTTTCACATGATTCACGCGAGACACTAGCAAGGCCCATCGAAAGAGCGTATTCTCGGTAGAATGGGATTCGAAAATTGGAATCCAATGTGAGTAGAGTGTTGGTGATGCCGGGGAAAAGTTTAGAGAAGCCCAGCGACTCGGTGCAGAATGCTGCAAATGCACCAAGGGAAATTATTCCATGCGGGTGATAGCCGAATATATACTTCCTTGTCGGTATCAAAGGTTCTGAACGATGTAAACGGGCCGGAAAATACGAGGCGTAGAGCGACCAAATGGGGAGCGATCGCAAAAAACTACTCCGATACTTCAATGAGCCCGAAGTCGACGCAGTTGAGAATAACGAGATGTATAGCAAATACGGTACCAGAAGAGGCCACGATAAAGGGATAGCACAAGTGAAAAAAAATACCCCAAGGCATATAGCAATCGTCAAGGTATGGCATAAGACCACCAGTGTTTGTAATCTCCGTTCAAAGCGGATGTTCAGAGGCGCCCAATGAATGCTGGTCTCAATTGTCAGCAACTCCAAGAAGACAACCAAGTAAAATGTAAATGAAGACTATTATTGTTATGTTGCTCTTACACGTACCCATATTTTTCATAGCCCTTGGAGGGTTGCCTGGAGGCGTCTATCCTAACACCCTGGGCTGAACCACGTGCAAGAAGACCTGGAGTTTTCCGTAGCCCATTCACGACATTACCCCCCTTTTTTCCGGACAACCTGTTCTCCTGTTCCTGGATACTCGAAGTTATCTTTCCTGGACTCGGATGGTAAGGGTGATGCTCCGCGGAATTCGTCTTCGCAATGGACTGCTGCACCGCATTCTCTTTGTCGGACGACGCGGTCTCCATGGTTAAGTTTGAGACGGAAGGGGTGGACGGAACTCGAATAGGGAGTACCTCGAAGGCGAAATAAGATTTTTGATCAATGATGGCACGCACTACGGTCCGGTCTTGGGGCAGGTGCGGTGGGAGTGCTGAGACAGGTGACCTCTTGGGTGTAGGTATGTCGTCATCATCATACTGTCAACTTCCTCGGCGCGCCACAGGTGATCTACGGTGTACGGAGTACGTCGGACCTTTTTCTTTTCTTATTTGCATGGCTATCCGCACCTAGGGTTCGGATTTCCCACCGTTCAGCTCTCTACGGAGGACACCTGATACCTTTGCGGTTTAGGCTCTTTTCTTGTCACGGCCATGTATACTGACTAGCTTTATGGCAGGTACTTGCGTCTGCAGGACCCCACCAAGCAACGAATCAGACGCGGCGTAATGGCCCATGAAGTATTTAATCAAGCTGCTCTACGGAGCTCAAATGATTATCCTGATATTTGGTATGTATTCCCAGTAAACGTGTTGTTTACTGCGGGCATGTAGTAAGTGTCTAGGCGTAGCCCTCAGCGCTCCTCTGCGCTTAATCTTACCTATGGTCTATAAAAGAAATGATATGGCAGCGACAATAGTACTAGCGAACCAATCAGGGTATACAGTGAGATGATACAAAAACTATTTACGATTTTACCATGAATATCTATCTTGGTTAGCATCCAGATGAACGGTCTATGATGACATGCACAAAACATACCTCGTTCAAGGACTTTTCGTCCATTAAAGCTTTCCTCTTTTGCGCAATATGGCGGCCTCTGATCATATGTCTTCCAAGCGGTCGGCGCTCCTTCACGGAAGGGCCAGCATCTGATGACGGCTGATCTTGCTCGTTGCTTGTGGATATATCAAGTTCGAACGACTGCTCTTGGGAAGGGGAGCTATCAGTGCCTTCCTGATTATCTGTATGCTTCCTTTTCCTTCCCGTCTTTTCTTTCTTCTCGCTTCTCTCTTTCTTCTGTCTCTTCTCCAGCTTCTCCCTCTTCTCCTTCGCACTTTTTCTGCCTTTATTATTTTTATGTTTTCGTTCTCGTAACCCTGAAACTTCAGAATGGTCAATGGCGGGCGCTTTGTTATTCACACACTCATTGACGTGATCCCCGTTAGTAGAGACTGTTTCTTTTCGCTCTTCTGCTTGTGCATCCGCTGGAAGATTTTGGGTCTCTTTTGAAATAGAAGTGGCCTCGTTGTCCTTTTCCTGTGCCAATAATCCACCACTTATAAACCGAACAGCTTGCCACTTAGTGGCAGCATACCGGGCCAGTTTTACATCGTCGCGCTTTCTCTGATCAGCTTGTAATTCGACATCGGACTTTCCGTTTAATCGGCCGAGAAGTCCTTTGAATGCATCGAGACCAGTAGGTTCGTCTAGTGGATCACGCTTCGATCGTGCTCCAAGACCAAGTGTATCATCCTTCACAATAACTCTGATATGCGACGCACTCGCAGCGGTAAACATGTCGGCATGTGCTGCATTGCGGGCTCCTAAGAAACTCCCCGGGGTCCATCCTTGCGAACTGAGAATCTTGTGCCCGAAGCCACTTGTTGACCGAGACCAATTCGTATTGTTGGGATCATGAGAAATCTTGGTTTTCCTATGTCGCATTCTCGTCAGTAATTGATCGTGGAGTTATGCCACTGGAGGATAACATACTTGCGGGGCGCAGCCAAACCCATTTGTGAGATGTAATTAATCGAGTCTCAAAATTGGCGAACTCGAACTGGAAACCAAAAAAAAAAAAAAAAAAAAAGGCTAACGATCAGTGAAAAGATGGACAACACAAAGATGCTTATGGATTTTCTGAAACTCTTCGTCCCCGGAAAGTAATTTGTTCTAATATCTGGAATATTTAATCATCCCCGGCTGAAGAAAAAAAAAAAAGGCCTTCGAGGACTTAAAGGGTCGACCCACTTATCACCGCCTTCTGTAACAATTCCCCTGAGGAACTTCGCAGTCTGGTCACGTGCTAAGAATGGAGATGTCAGACTGGATATCATGCAATACAGACCCTTACTAAGGAAGGGTGCCCTTTTTAGTCAAAAAAGCGGTAATATTGTTCAACAGGAGACTCCTCCTCTCGACGGACTTCGTGGGGACACAGCTGAGCGTGGGTAGGAATTCTGCCAACGTTGGTTGAAGTTCAGCGTTGGTACAGAGCCGTAGAGTTATTACCACAGATATCTACTACTTCCACACACCCACGTATTAGGGTAGTTAGGTGGTTAAGATGGTTAGGATGGTTAAGGTGGTTAAAAATTAAGGAGGTTTTTTTTTTTTAATATTAAGAATCTATAGTAATAATTTTAGATTAAAGCTCAGCGTGGGTTGAGGTTCAACCAACGCCGAAGATTTCTCCGTTCCGGGTCTCAACCAACGTTGGCAGAATTCCAACCAACGCTGAGCTGGAGGCCCGGACTTCGTACCTACACCGTACTCCATAGTCTCTTCCAGCTTGGCTACGAGACACTGCGACTACACCAGAACACGGTCACTTCGCCAAATAAAGGTATACGCTCTCGCAACTTGTTAGGTGGATCAAGTCTTCGGGATTGGTTTCGCGGGCTTCGCGAACATCGCACTGCACAGTCAATATAATCAAGTCCGTGCTGCTGCAGTAGTCCACTCTGCACCTGAATTCATTTTTATCGGATCCTTACTGTACCACTTCGCTCAAGTGTCTCGACACACCGACTTCACCATCCCCCCTACCTCCCACTTCCGAGGAACACGGAGTACCTTGATAACCCTATATATCTTTGTATAGACGCCAGCGAAGGCTTGGGACTCGAATCTGTTTTATCAATTGGTGCTCGACTACCCCGATTTACTGAGATGTTCAGCCGTGCGTTCCGTCATTTGAGAAGTCACTGGTGCTAGCTAGTTAAACACATGTCAAGATACCTGAAACCTTGGTCTTTATTCCATTGTGATTGTATCTATACAATCGCTCCGTATCTTGGTCTTCTCCGATCCGCAATTTAATTTCGTCGGCTTAGTGCATCACGAAGGAGCATTGGCGCCACTACAACGATAATTACCGTTGTCACTGCATGCCATGACTAAGGCCATTCCCCATCTTACAGTCGACAATGCCTAGTATTCGAGTCTTGTGCCGGGATCACCCTGTTCGCACCCTTCTTGTGGTCACATCTGAAGACGCATTGATCTTCCAACATAGCTTGGGAGAACCAGTGGGCAATGTTCTGCCAATCAATGGCGACACCCAACGTTGTCTGGTGGAATTTGCCAGCTTATCATCTATAGACTTTACAGGCTATCGGACTCTAGGGTCTGGCTATGGCATCCTTGGGCTTGTTACTATAGACCAGGATGTCTTTGTGTGCATTGTCACGCGTTCTTCCAAGGCTGCCACTGTCAGGCCCGGTGAGACTGTCTTAAGGATCGAGGATGTAGATTTCTGTAAGACGCCTGTTGTGCTAAATTGTTTTTCGCTCTGTCTAACAAATAAAGATTGCTTGAATTGCTCGGAATATGAATCTAGTCTCTATAACGACAAAGAGTCTTCAATTGCCACTGGAGATTCCAACCCGAACGCGGGAATGACAGAAGACCCTTTCCTAGGTCTCAAAAAGCTCTTGAATGATGGGAGTTTTTACTACAGCCTTGACTTCAACCTTACAGATCGGCTACAAGACCGGTATGATGATGAATCCATAAGACTGTGATATGAATACGATGCTGACACACTATCAGTTCAGACAAATCGGCAGCTTTTGACATTGATTCCCTTGACAAAGATGTGTTGTGGAACGCATACATGATTCAACCACTTCTTATTTTCAGGTCTCACTTATCGCCGCGCGAGAAGCGACTTTTAGATTCCTCTCAGATTCTCACGTGTGTCATTAGAGGGTTCTGCGGAACGCTAGCTATACCTGCTACCGTTAATGTGTTATCTTCGGTGCAAAAAACAAACCTACCATCCATGCTCACTCTGATTTCCCGCCTGTCTTCTCTACGTGCGGGCACTCGATTCAATGCTCGCGGCATTGATGATGATGGCAATGTTGCGAATTTCGTTGAAACTGAAACGATCCTCTGGATACCTCCCGGTGTTGCCTACTCTTACGTTCAGGTCCGCGGCTCTGTGCCGATTTTCTGGGAGCAGGCTACAGGGTTTCTACCGGGGCAACAAAAGATTGAAGTTACTCGATCTGTTGAAGCTTCGCAGCACGCCTTTGATAAGCATATCGAATCTCTCGAACTGGAATATGGCGCAGTACATGTGGTCAATCTCCTCAGTGAACTGAAGCCTGGTGAGGTTGAACTTTCTACGAGATTCCGGGAGCACATAAGGAAAAATCTCGTTGGCCCAAAGGTAAACTTTAATAAGTCACCAGATAGTGCGCTATTGCGAACAACAGAGTTTGATTTTCATGCGGAGGCTCGGGGCCCTCTGGGATATGGAGCCGGAGGCGAAATTAAACATGAGCTCATGCATTCTCTCAATGGCTTTGGATATTTTCTTTCTGAGAACGTGAATAGGAGTGGTCCCGGGAACACCTCCGTCATCCTGCAACAGGATGGTATTTTCCGGACTAATTGTCTAGATTGTCTTGACCGGACAAATATTGTGCAGACCATTATTAGCTCATTAGCTCTTGAATTGTTTTTGCTACAGGAAAACGGCGTGCTGAGCTTTGAAGTTCAACTTCGACATTCAACAATATGGGCTGATAACGGAGATGCGTTATCCAAAATCTACGCTGGCACCGGTGCTCTCAAAAGCTCATATACACGACACGGGAAAATGTCACTCGCAGGCGCTCTGGCTGATGCCCGTAAAACTGCCACAAGGCTGTATATTAATAATTTCTCTGACAAGGCTCGCCAAACGACGATAGACCTATTGCTAGGTCGCCTACCAAAACAGATGCCTGTGCACCTTTACGATCCGATTAACGATTTGATCTCCGGCGAGCTTGATCGAAGGGCAGCAGAATTTACTTCCAGGAAATCGACCAACATCTGGACCGGAACCTTCAATATAAATGGTCGTGTCCAAGGGCCAGATACAGACTTGAGCCCTTGGCTGTTTCCTGAAGCCCATGATCATGACTCAGATCCGACCATTTTTGCTGTTGGGTTTCAAGAGATTGTTGTATTGAGTCCCCAGCAAATAATGTCAACAGACCCTACAACCCGCAAGTCCTGGGAGTTTGCTGTCGGAGATTGTTTGAACACACGCGCAACTGCAAGAGGGACACCGAAATACGTTCTTTTGCGGTCAGGCCAACTCGTTGGGGCGGCCTTAATGATATACGTCCGGGAGGATATCCTCAAGGATATAAAAAATGTTGAAGGCAGTGTAAAGAAGGTAAGTCGGGTTTACTCTTCCGCCGTACTTGTCATTAATTCCGTTTACGCAGACTGGGCTCTCCGGCATTGCTGGCAACAAAGGGGGTTGTGCTATTCGGTTTGAATATTCTAATACTAGGCTTTGCTTCGTAACAGCTCATCTGGCGGCTGGCTTTGCAAACTATGACGAGCGGAATAATGACTATGCAACCATTCGTCGAGGACTCCGCTTCCAGAGGAATCGATCTATTGAGGAGCACGATGCCATTATATGGTTAGGGGATTTCAATTATCGAATTGGTCTTCCCAATCAGGCTGTTAGGGACTTGGTGCAGCAGGCCAGTTATCAGAGGCTTTATGACAATGACCAGGTGACTGCCATGGCTCATTTTGTTGCTGGAATGCGTACACCAGCTAACCGCTCGGTATAGCTAAACCTACAAATGCTGGCAGGAAGAGTATTTCAATTCTATAATGAAGGTCTCGTCACCTTCCCCCCAACTTACAAGTATGACGTTGGCAGAGACACTTACGACACTTCGTAAGTATACTCACACTCTTCGGGGAGCCCACCTAAGTGATTACGTTTTTAGGGAGAAAGCGCGCATCCCCGCGTGGTGCGACAGGATTCTATGGAAAGGTTCCAACCTTCGACAGCTCAATTACAACGTTTCAAACATGCTCCTTTCCGATCACCGTCCAGTGTGGGCTAGCTTTGCATGTACGATCAATGTCATCGATGAGGCTCGAAGAGAAAGTTTGAGGCATGCGCTCCACGCTCAACGGCGAAGTAACCCTCAGGTCCTCGAAACCCAACCGCAACCAGTGCATACAAGCAATGGGGATCCTTTCCTCCTTGAACCGATTTCTACCGGGCTTCCACCCCCTAGTTCAGATCATCGTAAATGGTGGTTAGATAATGGTAGGGCACTTCGCTTAATGCACTATTTCAACAATCTGAATTGCGTTCTATTTTAAGTTCCAACTGCTGATTTCCTCAGGTATCCCGGTGAAATCGTCTATATCTTCTCCCAGCGAAGATCGTGTATTGAATACCTACCGGACTTCTAACCCGTTTTCCCCCAAGGAGAACCCTGACTGGGCTCTCATTGCCGCGAGTCAAATGCAATACACGAACACTCCTGGTATTATCCCCATGAAGCCCCCGGTTCCGCCCAGAAGTTTAACAGCTCCAGTGGCATATCGAAATCAACCACATAGCGCGCTGGAGGCAAAAGGGAACGTGCATAAAAACGCACCGCCGGTGCCGCCGAAGCCCAGCTCACTCGTTTCGGATCAAAGTTCCACTATCCAGAACCGATCCCAAAATGGGGGTGCTACTCTTCCAGGTCCTGCCACAAGACGATCCCGCCAGTCATCGTTGACGAGTGGGCTACTTGACGATAACGTTAGCGAGGAAATCAGTTGGAAACCTCTTGTTCCTCAGTAGTTCTGGTACTATCAGACGATATTCCGCTAGCTTATATCAGTTCATAAGTATATAATGATTCACATGGTTAACGAAATCAGGGTGGCATAGTAGTTCAGCAGGGCTACAGGTCTTTGGAACACTTAAATATGGAATAAGCGAGGACAAAAAAAATATTGTTGATCTAGCGCACTTGAGCCAAACTCCGATTGAGAAACACAGATGATGTGAAAAACAACATATATATACACGAGTGTACTTTGCAAAAGGACGACGCTTCCAACGATCTATGGGTATATCAGCAGGTCATGACACATCTTGGTTACACGGTTAAATCTTCAGAATATCTCTCCAACTCCGATGCAAAAGAATTTTCGTCATACTTCCCGAGAAAGATATGGAAATAATGACAACCACAACATACTCCACCGCAAGGCATGAGAAACCAATCCCGTTCGAACGAGAGGAAAAGCCATACCCATCTAAAGCAAGCCGGTAAGGGAAAGTTCCAAAATCTGGTCGCTGTATGAATTCCTTGGAAGGAGCGGTTTGAAGGTCGCTCGGGCGGGAGCCTCAAATCAGCCGCCGTAAGTCCTGGGGAGGGATGTCAGAAATTGCATCCATCAGCCAATCTTCCAAGAAAACAACTGGCTAGATGCGCAGCTTCAGGGCCAAGACTGCGGCTAGAACTTTGAACCCTATCAGACAGCATGGCCCATTACGGCGTAATCAGCTGCTTTAGGCTTTTTTCCCACTTTTAAAGCCTGCTTCTTGAAACGGTTGGGGCCTCCAACCATCCACATGGCAAATGGGCTAGGGTCGCCAGGCTTTGGCCGCGGTTTTTTAGGGGCTGATCATTAGTTCATAGCTCATGCAATAACCAAATGAACGGCAAATTTTGAAAAACACACCTGGCTTCTTCGGCGCATCAGCGGCTGCGGCTTCGGCTGGCGGTGCTGCAGGAGCACCGCTGTCTGCAGGAGGACCTGGTTCTTCCTTTGGCTTCTCTGGTATCGGCCACATATGCATAGTAATGCTCCAATCGGGCTCAAGGACGGTCTCCCAGACTTGCGGGAGTATGATGTCGCCATTGGGGCCAATCAAGTCATAGTGGCCCTCTGCAACATGAGGCCCTATCACCTCAATGTGAAGAAAAGCTTGCTTTATAAGCTCCTCCATTCCCTTGGTTCGAATATAAGTTAGATATATGACCAGGTTACCTTTATACGTTAAGAGAGCAAGCATGCCTACCTTCCAAGTGCAACATAAATCAAACGGAAAACTGAACTTTCTGCCAAGAGCATCCTTGAATTTAATGGGTTGTTTCTTATCTGGAGGTTTATTAGCAGCCACTGCAGCTGCAATTTTATCTTGCACGTCAGCTGTGGCCTTTTCCGTAGCTTCTGCTGTTGCCGCGTCGACGGCCTTTGTCGCGGCTTCTTCTGCCTCCTTCTTTGCCTGTGCCGCCTCATCAGCGGCTTTCTGCTCTGCCTCAGCCTTAGCGCGCGCGGCAGCTTCCTCGACGAGCTTTTTCTCATGTGCAGCACGTTTCTTCTTCTCAGCCTCGGCAGCAGCCTCCGCTTCGGCAGCAGCCTGACGGGCTGCTTCACGCGCATCTCTGGCTTCACGCTCGGTTCTTTCATCCAAAATCAATTTCTCAAGTCTAGCAATCGCGTCGTCCTTCACCGGATCCACAGGTGGTGGCGCAGGGGCTGGGTCTGGGGAGACTGGTGCTCCAGCAGACCCACTTTGGCTTGGAGGAGATGTTGCGCGAGCATAAGAGTTAAAATAGGGCGACATCATCCCGGGAACCATGGCATACGGCTCACGGAAAGGGTGAAATCCTCCGGTGCCATATGGAACCAGATCATGATTCATCTGCGATCCACCATATGGCGGAGCAACGTGAGAAGGACCGGAGGGTTGAAAAGGATGCTGAGGTGGATTGTGCCCATCACTTCGATGAGAGCCTGCGGTAAGCGTATGCCCGTGGTTTCCGGGATGGTGATCGTGCATATAGAACTGAGAGACAGTTGGACCATGAGGCTGTTGCAAATGAGGACTGTATCCGTAAAACGGATGACCATATTGATTTGGCGGCCCAACCTGGCTGTGAGCACCGACTCGAACTAATTGGTCCGAAGGTGTATGTTGGCCAGTTGGCGGTATGTATGGAGCGTGTGGCACTGTACCGTGTGGATAAACGTATGAAGGGCCTGGGGATGAGCTGTGTGCATAAGCCGAGCTTTGAGCGACAGATGGCCAGTATCGTTCCTGGGATCTGCGCCGATACGGGTCCCCATACTCCTCAGCCGAGTCCATGCTTTCTGGTGATTCTGGCGAAGGATGACGGTGGGGTCGGCGACGGAAAGACTCTCGTTCTGGGACAATCTGACGCCTCGTTGAGCGTCGGCGACTTGTTGATGCGGAAGGCGGGTGGATTGGGTTGCGACTCCTGGTACGATAAGATGTTCGATTTCGAGAGGCTGAGTCGGATGGCTTCAGTTCATCTGGATAAGGCAGGTTCGTCCATTCATCATATGGATCGTGATACCCATGGCTTTCAGGTTCGGAAGGTGGCGAGACCTGCACTCCTGATGAATCTTCTTCGTCGGTGAAGGCGGAATCGTCCGAGTCGTGCGGACTTGGACCAATTGTGATGTTGAACCTGCTTGGTCGTGAGTATCAAGCGATGCTGATGAGATACTTCGTGACGCACGTCATTGATATTACCTAAATAATTCAGGTCCCTGACTGTACGCCTGTCGAGTGGTGGTTTTGTATGGAAGTTGTGGTTGAACGTCAAGACTGGGTCTCGGTTGTAAAACGTCGATTAAGTTTTCGTGTAGCGGCTATCCTTCTGCTGAAAACAAGATCTGATCGTGATAAGTCGAACAAAAAGAGGATGACCCGAGGATATACGCCTCAGATACTTTATCTCCGGCGTTAGTATTATAATTGAAGCCGTGTGTCTGCTTGAGGCCTGCACTCCCACGGAATCAGTGCCGGGTTCAAAGTGCAAAACGGGGCAATTTGGAATGGCAATTTAACTGAAGTTGCAGAAAGGAAAAGATAAAGTAGGTCACGAGATATTAGGGGTTCCTGGAGGAAGGATATATAGGCGAGGGGGGCAAGACAGCACGGCGATGGCGGGCAGTAAATAGTCGGGAGGGGGATATATCAGGTAGTTGACGGCCTGATGATTCACTATTGGGCCCAGGAAAAGAGTTCGGGCATGGCTTACCAGGAGCAAAATTTCCGATCAGCGTATTCTGTGAAAACTTTTGGTTGGGCTGAATATTCAGGTCAACCTATGTTTTTTGCCTTATTTCCTTCCAAGTTCCTTTTGTTGTTGTTTTTGACCCTCTTCTTGCGCAGAAAGACAGGGTTGAGAATGAATAGGAACCCTGGTACGAAGCTTGAGGTTCCGAAATCTGCTGCCCAATGCCCAATCAATAATCGCTGTGGAGGCTTTCTCCGGGCCGGAATGCAAGACTACCAATTCTAGTTGTACGATCACAAGTCCACAACAACCTCCAATTCTTCTTCGCCCTGCCTCCCTTCCTGCCGAGTATTGAACAAATCTTTTCCATTCGTTGGGCCACTTTTCAATAATCAAATTGTACACCGTACAAGAGAAGCTCCCTACCTAAGTGGACTCCCGACCACAATGTTTGCCAGTCAATGCTTTTACACACTTCTCTCTACAGGCATTGGGCCCAAAACATCGTGGAAAGTGTCAGGAATGTAGTAAGGTACTAGTCAAGTACCGGGAAAGCATGAGCATCCTGAGGCTGGTCATTTATTTTGCTGTATTCTTCTCCCAGTTTCCACGCCTCCGAAATGGTCACGTGAACTGGCTGGTCATTCCCCTTGTCCTTGTAGCGCCGAGTGCCGTACAGCTTGAGAACGAACTGCGCTCGGAGGACAGTACCTTCAACGCGGCACACCGTACAAGAGGGTCGGCAACTTCGGGAGACCCGTTTTAATTCAAATCTGGGAGAATACTTTGCAGCATGTTGACCGTCCATTAAAGTTGTTTTGTCGATGATGATACTGGTCGATGGGTTCTGGATATCTAACTGCTAGGTTCGCAACATACATACGGAGTAGACTACACCGTACAGAGCCAAAATGCCTCAGGTACTTGGGATGTTGGTCCACTGTTTCCTCTGTTAGTCCGACTCGTCGAATACTTATAAATACGTACCAGCGGACACGATCAGGAGTTACCATCTTTGGTACGTGGTGTTACGTCATTTGGCTGGGGCAATAGCGTCCGAGATCCACGGCGGTCAAAGAAAATACGCAGCTGAGGACCTGAAGCTGATGAAACGAAGCGATTGTAGATATCAAGAAGACCCTAGAAGCATCACCTCCTGTCTATAGGAACGACGGAATCATCAAACGTTGGCTTGCTAGTCACAACATTTTAACGTTTTGGCCGTTATCAACGATATGTGAAACAAACAAGTTTCGAGACTATTACCTTACCCCTGTATCAACGACGTCGCGGAAGCAATTCCTCCTCCAACGTGGCCTTTCCGGCTCTTCGCAGGTAACTAACCAGAGGCCGATTCTTGCTCATCCAACAACACTTGTATTCTGTGCCACCTTATAATACAGTTAACGGCTGGATTATTCGAGCACGTTTTTTACCTTCACGTTGATTCCGGGAATCGCTAGCACGATGGTACCTAATCCCATGGCTCCCCTGACCCTTGACAATGATAATGCTCACCACATCTAGGCTCAAACACCACAACAAAGGAGGGCGAATGAGAAATTTGCGAAACATGAAGCTTCAAAACGCGGAAAACCGAAAACCACTACGACTAAGCACAGTCCAAAGCCCTCTCTGTCAACGGGCTGGGTCGGTATGTTTTAAAACATCAGAACCGCTTGTTTTTATATCTAAAACTTCAATAGCTCTTCTCGCCTTCGTTGTCTGCGGTGGTCTCGTCTTTGAACTATTAAGAGTTGTTCCTGAATTGTGGTCTACAACTATCTCGTTCTTTAATCGACTGTTGGCATGAAGTCCCTCCAACGCTTCTTAAACAGAGCCGTCAAACGACAAAGTGTCGCATCAGACCATTTTTAAGCTATTCATAGGTTCAGTGACATGACAGAAGCCACTTTATATCATGAACAATCACGCAAATTATTCTGGCTTCAAATAAAGTCAGGCTATAGCTATGCTAGTCAGGGATATAATCCCTCGGGGTGAGAAAGAAAGTGGCATTCATTAAACACGCGGGCCTTGTGTATATTCGTCCTACAAATATAAAACTAATTAATCCAGCCTGTCTTTGAAGTTTATTCTCTTGGGGTATTGTTTGTTTTTCTTCCCTTCTCCTGCGCTGAAGACGGTTGGCCATCCCTCTCCGGTATATCAGCTCTCCGAAGCCTACCATGACTGGATTTTTTTTGTTTTCTTCGTTTTTTTACAAGTGTCCCTTCGGGGGGTGTACCTTCGAGGTACACACGCTCAGACGCCCGTTGCATCTCTCGCCGAGCCTTCTCGATTTCCTTCATCGCTGTGGCCATCTCTACATCGTCCTCATTCTTACCAGACATGCCGCCAGTATTGGAGCCAGTATCCGCCCCCAGAGTAAAGTGCCTAAGCCCACTAGAATCAACTTGCAGTAAACCTTTCCTCGCCTTAACAGGCTCGTCGTGGGAGGCAGGGACACCTGTTTCTTCAGCCCCGATTACCTCATCTGGAATAACATCGTATTTTTTGGGTTGTGCAGGCAAGTTGTGCGGGCCGTCATATGGTGTGGTGCCCATGAGTGTTGGGACATTCTCAAGCTTGCCTATCTTGAGATCAACTATTGGAATAGAGTCGATATCCAAACCCTCGCTATGCGAGGTACTTGATGCCGGCTCGAGTGATGTTGCGGCATTGTTCTGCTGATCAGCACCAATGTAGAATGGGTCATCTCTATTGCGTTGTCTCCATTCTACTTTCTGCCGCGAATTCATGGCCGCCAGCTCGGGGCCAACTTCTGAACCCTGGAGTGCGATGCTCGTGCCAAATTCGTTTTGTAGGTCTCTTGGGGTCTGTGTCTTCCGGTCATGGTAAAAGTCATTGGGTGGCGTGTATGTGCGAGCCTGGTTGCCATCGAACAACCTACGAACGCTGTTATTGAACGGCAAAGTCAAACAGAGTTGGTCCGGCAAAGGAACCTTTTTCTGGGCATTCGGCGCTACCGGGTTAAGCTCAAGCCCATAAAACAGACTTGGGATAACTGAAGACAATAGGAATGGCACCTGGGTCTGTTGGGTGCCGCCGGTTTGCATCACATCTGCAGCCAACCGCATAATCTCTAAAAATTCGATGGCCCTTTCCTGTACGTCCAAATCGGGATGATCTGCCAACAATTCAAGAAACTCAACAATTCGGGCTAGAAAAAGCGAGACTTCGTTTTTCTGTGCCACGCTCCATGAGTCCCCATAGTCATGGACGATGCGAGCGAGAACTTTTGGAACTGCTTGAACGAAGAGAGAAAGAGCTCCCCCAGATAGTGATATAGTAGATATGTCGATGAGCGACTGGAGTGTCTTGCCTGGGGACGAAAGATACTCGGCATATTCCCCAACCACCCAAGCCAGAGGACCCAGTACACCATGAATAGGATTAGACGCACTCACAGATACCGATTGCCTATTGTCAATGAGAAGCAGAGACTCGGCGGCTCTAGTGGCTTCCACCCGCACATTCCTAACACGAACGGCAACATTTCGCACCTCCAACCCGATTCGGCTTGCCACATCGTCCCTGTAGTGATTTTCAAGCCTCTGGTACGCAGTACGCTCTTCGGCATTTGTAGGAAGGTGTTTCATAAGTCGGATCAATACACTGACATACCATTCAAAGTCCGCTAACTTTGAATAGTTGTCATGAGAACATATGTCTAGAATCCTGTGCAGAACCTCGACACGATAGTCGTCAGGAACGGGAAGATGGGATTTGCATTCCCGTTGTTCACTTTGTCCGACATGATCTCGCAATTCGGTGACGTCTTCATGATCCAAGCCATCTCCGTTAGGTGGTGTATCTTGAGGTTCCTCAAGCTGTCTAATTAGCCGCCCGACCACAAATGCTAATGTTTCCTTGGTAACCATTCGAGCCGCTAGCTCGAGGGCTTGAAGACGAATTGAGATATCTGCATCCTCCAAACAATCCATTATAACATCCTGGTGTGTCACAACCAAATGCGGATACGAGACCACGATCCTACTAAATGCAAGCAATGCTACATATTTAACTTGTGATATGTTAACCCAGGAACTTATATGGAAACAAGGAAGGACGTACGGTTCGGGTCGAAATCTGTAACCACCATGCCTCGTAGCTTTGAGACACAAACATTTGCGATCTCGTGCTTTTCCTCTAGCGCCCCTTCGCCATCGAGAATACCACCCTGTATTATGCCGTTGATACACTCATAAAGTAACGACATGGCCGAGGTTGTCTGGATTATGTTCAGAAGCGGACGAATAAGCTTTCGGACCAATCGTGGCTCTAACGGGGTTAATGTTGCAAACTAACTGAGTTAGCACAGAAAGCAATTCGTGACATGAGAAAACTCACAAGCTTAATGATCTTGATTGCCATCCAGTTGTTACCTCCATCCACTAATAATTCAAAAAATCTCGGGGCAAGTGGAAGGAAATCGTGGGGTCTTCGCCATCCTAGCTCGCAAACGACATTAAGCACAGCCGTGATGACACTACTATCCTCTTGGTCATCCATCAGACGCTCCTTTAATCTGGGCCATGCTAGCCTTAGAGCTTCGGGATAAACCAATGCAAGTCGGTAGAGGCATACCACTGCCTTCTTTCGAATTGAAGCATTCGTGTGTGAAACCCTGGATAACACATCGGGGAGCAAAGACATTGCAAGAGACGCAGTTATGATATTTGGGAGGGTTATAAGAGGAAGAGAAATTATGTGTAAATTGGGACATGTCATGTCCTGTGAACACATCGTTAGTAGATACAAACAACAGACAAGGACCTCTTGCCAACCTTTTTGAGCAGATTTGTTGCAAGCATGAGAACTTCAGTTTCTGGCCTGAAGCTCTGTAAGGCCCCGAGATACCCGGCTCTTTTCTGGAGAAATTTGGATGATGACATGACTTCCAAAACATGAAACGAGGCCCAAGACATATCATATCCGAACATTTCTAGATAGGCTAATTTCAAAAGAGCCGTGGCTTTTTTATCTGGAGATAAATTTCAGCAAAGGGGGGGGAAAAAAGGTAAAATAGAATGGCTGGAATATTTTGCCAGTTATCACCATACCCATGTCTTGAGTCCGGACCTCAGCCCTACATTCTCTAAGGCTGCTTTGTATATAATCTTCCTCAGCACCCTTGTGATTTCTCAGACCTTTTATCAGGTCATATAACGACTTCTCAAACCTAAAAGCAATTAGACCCGGTAAACTCTATAGTTAGCGGGGGTATAACTGACATTTTGCTCCAAAGCCTCTGGTGGCCAGGTGACGACCCCTCTCAATCCTCTAACCCGCATCAAACGTCCGCAAGCTATGTAAGGTGACTTTGATTCCTAGAGCGATAGCCGCCAGTAGATTCTTGGCACGAGTTGCCCGTAAATTCGATCTCACGCAGATAGGACTGGATGGGCGAAGTTTTATAGCTCATTTCTTGTTGCGTTGGTCTTCGTATGCTCGGAGCTTTTGCGGAGAGTCTACGGTGGAGTACTGATGCGGACCCAGCCGGCCTTAGGTCACGGGATGTAGCAATACATACAGACTACAAGGATTACGGAGTGAGCCGACGACTCATGGTTACTTATTTCCACATCAACACGCTTTCCTGGCGCGAACTTCACCATAATCCGTTGTTATCTGTCTCCTGCCACGTCTCCCGCCACCTTCATTCTTCTATCGGGACCATACGTATCAACACCATTCGATAAAGCTCAATGGCTGTTCTCCGGTCCAATGTCGGTCATGGCTCGAAACTTACGACCGCTCTCCATCGTTCACAGCAAGCTCCTGCCATTCTAGGCCAAGAAGGCTCAGGAGGCTTACTATCTCGGTGGTATACTATTCTGGACAATGATGGCTCAAATTATTTTGATTCTTTAGAAAAGCTCTTCTTCTCATGCCTTCAATCTGCTGATGACAAGAGCGCGCTGTTATGCCTCGAGCGTCTAACGCACCGCTTTGGACCATCCCATGAAAGGATAATGGCACTACGCAGCATATATGATGAAGCGATCGCGGAGGACAACCCGAGTTTAGAGAGATGTCTGAAAAAATACGATGACATTCTTTCGCAGAACCCCGCCAACCTGGTTTGTGGATATTGTCCTAATTGAAATCCGTCAGTACTGATCCTGTCCAATAGCCAATTTTGAAACGTCGGATTACCCTGCTTAGGTCCTTGTCTCGGCCTACAGAATCCATTTCCAGCTTAATACAACTCCTCGGTGCCACACCAACTGATGCCGAAGCTTGGTGTGAGCTTGCGGAGTTATATCACTCGCAGGGAATGGGTGCACAAGCGATATTTAGCCTTGAGGAGGCCCTGTTAGTAGTGCCGCATGCGTGGAATGTGAGCTATGACTCAATTAAAGTCTATCGAGGGTTGCTGACTCCCGATGCAGGTTCACGCCCGCTTGGGTGAAATTCTTTACATCTATGCCGGCTCATTGGAGGACGAGGCTATGTGGCGACAGCTACATTCATCTATCCGTCATTTCTGCAGAAGTGTTGAGCTCTGCGACGGTTACCTACGGGGATTCTATGGCTTAGCATTGGTGGGGATCCACTTCCACAAGTTGTCAATGGCTCCATTGCAAACTAAACTAATGCGATTTATAGGCCATGGCTCGTCTTTCGGTTGATAAACTACCAGAAACAATATCGAAGGGCTCTCCATTGGGGAGCGAATCCTTGCAGCGCCTTCGTGATTTGGCAACACATAAGCTCAAAAGTATTCTTACAACGCAGTGCTCACTTGAGCCACGTCTTCGGGAATACGAAGATCATGAGCTCGTAGCCGTTAAAGATCTTCTCAACGATTCTTCTGAATGAGAAATATTTTTTCCTATTTGAATATAATACCCCCGCTTCTGCTCTTTGGCCCCAGGTGCTATGCAGCTCGGGTATAAAAGCACCTTGGCAAATTAATCCCGCCCTCTGAATAAACGCTCTGTGTATTCTGTTTCGTCAGGCAGCTAGAGTAACATACTGGTGGTGATGGTTGTCTTTATTATTTATCGTCACTACAATATCGGAAGAACGCTGGTGGGGGGAGTACCTCGGAAATCGACCGCAACCATCGCGGCTTTGGTCTTTATCATCAAACATAGACTTAGTACTATCTAGCCCACTTGCGAAAGTGCCTGTACATATAGCACGAGGCTCTGTGGAGGGGCGGGTGAGACGAATGATGTGAATACCCGCACAGGTGGCCCGGATCCACCCACTCCCAAGCTCTCTAGATAGAGAATAGACTTAATAGTGCCGTGCCGCGGTCTCGAGGTAAAGGATTTTTTGCCCCCTTCAAAACCTAGGTATCTCGCTCGCAATGGGAATTCCGCGACTGAAAAAACACTTATTATCATTTTGTCAACCGGTCCTGTTTCAAGGGGGCACGGATTGCAACGATGAGGGCCTTGAATGCATAAGTTCCCTTGTGATTGACGGGCCTAGCCTAGTCTACAGTGTCTACTCCCGGTTACTGTCATGGTTCTCAGCAACTGGTCCCAATAGGTTTGAAGCCCTGCCGACCTGCGATGAAGTTAGTCAGGGGGTTATGTTATATTTGGCGCATTTGGAAATGCTTGGCGTTAAGATGTACTCACAAACACTGTGGATTCTGAATACATCTGAGCTAACTCTTTTTCAGCGAGAACATATATTTCGATGGAGCCCTGCCTGCGCGGAAACATGCAACCCGCATTGCCCGACTTGAAAACCAAAGAAGAAAACTCGAAGTATTCTGTGCCGAAACCAAGAACGGCTTCGAACCGATTATATCCCCGGGGTATAAACGAACCGTTCAGCCAGAAAGTATTTTGCGCCGCCGATCAACACCTGCTGTGTACAGTAACATTCCTGCTAATCCTTTTATGGTTTCAACTGTGTTCGAAGACCTGAAGTGTCGCTGGAACGGGGCAAATATCACACGAGCCACCAAAAACACTTTACCACTGCAGGTATTTGACGATCATGAACGTTTTCCCTGGGCAGATCTCGCGACCATGGTACCAGGGGAGGCTGATGCCTGCTGTGCCCATGCGGCAAAGATCATGGGTTGCTGCATACTCACGAATGATTCGGACCTCGTTCTCTACGATCTTGGAAACCGTGGCTCTGTCGCTTTTCTGGATTCAGTGGAACTCAGTAGGTGGGAGCCCTCCAAGCCATCGATATCTCAAATAAGGGCAGCGATACTGCGCCCCTCCAAAGCAACCCGGCGGTTAGGTGTCTCCAGCCTGCTCCCGCTTGCATACGAGCTAAAATCCCAGCCAGAAATTGGTTTGGGAGAGTTACTGCGGCGGTCGAAAAACGCGACCTCTATAGCGGAGCTGTCTAACTATCGAGAGTTTATCGACGAATATCAAAACGACCATTGTTGCGCGCTTGCGCAAGCTACCAAACAATCAATTGGATTTTGCGATACTAGGATCTCGGAATTGCTATGGCAGTTTGAATTGCGAGGTGAATATGCGGGTAGGGATTGTCCATACGTCTACCTCGCAACCATGAGTGAAGACCATACAAAGCGATGTGCATGGGTCAAAGGCCGCGAATATCGAAACGTGGCATATTCAATACTAAACCTCTCTCAGTCTATAAGTGAAAGGCATCACTACGTGGTTGAATTTACTCGGCGCGGCCAGCGCATCGCGGAGGAGAAAATACAACTTCAGGACGAAATGATGATTTCAGCTCAAATAAAATCTTTTCAGGCCCGTCTGGAGGATTTTCAGGCCAGCCTAGGAAAAGACAGTGGATCTCTATACTTCTGGATACTATTTGCTGTCATCGATTCCTACTGTCCGGATTCTGGAATTGATGAAGGATATTTTCAAAAACTGAAGCAGTTTCTGAGAGTTGGGTACATGGGTAAGCGGCTCGAATGGGCAGACATTCACCTATCAGCACAGATATATTCTATTTTATACTCCTTACGGGTTTTGAAGCAGGTTCTTGAACTCTCAAATTCTATGGGTACAGTGGCGGGGGGGTTGGAGGCTATTTTGAAGGGCCTTCCACCCTTACATATCATAATGGATCCTGTCCACCAACGCACAGAAATGTGTAGTGTTGATATTACAACTACCCAACTGTCAGATATGTTTGAGTCCCTGGCGCAAAATATCCAGTTGGAATGCTCAGACAATGGCAATGGGGCCGCGATAGACAACGTTCAAACATCTCCATTTCTTGCAAACGCTATCAGGAGGCCTGTGCAGTCACTCAAAACTGTGTCCAACTTATATGAATTATTACAGGAGCAATGAAAGCGCATGGTATATTGAGTTCAATGACATGAAAGGGCCTCTAGGAACCTTCGTAAAGCACTTAAGCACAAACGGCCTTCTCTACCGAGTGGACCTGAGGAACCCAACAACACCCCGGCAGTAGCTTACAAGACCTGCCAGGCGCTGGATTTCTGTCCGTTGGATCCGACTCCAAACACCAAGGGCGCTTTTCAGCGTATTCTCGGTACTCTCGCTCGACTCGGAGCACGCTGCGATAACATCAGAATGTATCCTTAAAAACGCTGCCATCCAGGCATTGACGAGTTCAAAATCTTTCTTCGAAGCGAGGCGGTCAGACAATGCCAGAATGAAGGTTGACAGTTCAGACTGGTCCCCTTTTACTTGTGGACTTAAAGACCTCATCCCCACTTCCAGTTTCGCTGGGGTCAATGATTTCAGCTCGGAAAAGAAGGAGTCGAAGTTCCCAGACAGATAGCCTGCTTGTAAAATTGATGCGAGCCGAGAGCCCTGAGTTGTACTTTTAGAAAGCTGGACTTTGGCAATGCGTGAAGGCTCCGCTGGTGTCAGGTCCCCTGGTAATTGTGCATTGATGTTGTTACCAACTGCACCGTTAGTTGGGGGCGTAGGAAGAAAGAACGGGGCTCTCTCGGGCACTTTCGGCGGTTCCTTGGGCATATTCCGCTCCTATGGAGTTGTTAGACGTGAAATCTGGACCAGCTTCAGGTAGGCCCCGAGTGGGAAGCAGGGAAGGGCAACAATACCTTGATCAAATCCATGTGAACCAAGGTCTGCCACTTATTTCTGGGGACAACGCTAAGCGTTAACAGCTCTTGAGTGAGCTGCTCCGTAGATAGGACCGGGCCGTCGTGGTTGGTTTCTTCGCAATCTTTCGTGAAGGCTGCTTCAATGATCCCGACACCTCCCTCGCCCGATGAGGTAGGGAGGCCAGTATCCGACAAATTATCTACCTGAAGATTTCTTGTGGACACTGGCATAAACAAGTTTTTATTCGACCAGAGGCCGATTCCTACACCATTTGCATGCGCCGTGGCTAGAAAGTCTCCAGTGGGAGACATAGTCAGCGAGGTGCACGTACTGGTTACGCGGAAAAGGTCGATGAGATGGCCAGTCGGCAAGTCCCACACCCGAATAATGGAGTCCATAGAAGCAGCAATTATCCACCGCCCATCGCCAGAGAAAGTCAAGTCATTGATCTGTCCTGCGCAACCCCAGAGTTCACGGATTACCTTTCTTGTTTCCACATCAACAACACGTATTGAAAGATCATCGCAGCTAAATGCAACCAGGTCGCTTGTGTTGCTATATCGCAGAGCTGTAATGGCCGTCATCGGATACCAGTCAAGCTCACTAAGGAGCAAACCAGACTTGAAATCCCAAAACTGGGGCAGCGTGGGCACACAATCAGCAACGAATGGAGGTTAATGATATTGAGGGAAATCCTACCTTGACCTTGCCGTTAAGATCACAACTGACAATTGTCCGATTTAGACTATCAATTGCCAGGCCAGTGACAGCCTTTGTATGCATTGCAGAAATATTTGTTTGGGACACCGGACCGACGCCTTCATTACCCAATTTGTTGTTAACGTTTCGAGGATAGCTTTGCCGATGTTGCCCAGACTGCATATTGAACAGGCTGATGGAACCTCCTGCAGATCCAATCACTGCAAAAGTACCACACTGGGATATAGCGACACTCTGTCATGATTGCAAATTAGGATAAAGTTTGGGTTGTACGGTCAGTTTGCCTCACCTTAACATCAGTCCCATCACCAGTCTCAAATACCCAGCGTCCAGCCTTCTTCTTACCCCAAAACCAGGTCCTAGCATACTTGTCTCCACGGTGGCCCGTTATTATACTCTCCCATCCAGTCCTATTCGACGACATCGTGCCGGTAGCTGTTGGGTTCGACCAAACAGGGCCTGATGCCGTGACACCCATTCCACCGTCCCGATTAAGGGAGCATGCAATACAAGTAATTTCAGGCGCCCTAAGATTCGTCTGGTTTGACAGGGATTGGCCCCTTTTTCTAGCCCTTTGATTCACAGAGCCTTGAGATACCTCGGTGCTTTGGCTGTCTTTTCGTAAGCTGAATCCCCACAAGCTGCTATCTTTGCCAGCGCTCAGTAGCCATTTCGCTGTTGATTCTGAGCCGTCGGTGGATGGTGGTAGAAACGAGATGGTAGTTATGGCATCCGAATGGCCCCGTCTGGAGTGTAGAGGTCTCGGAATCGGGGAAAACGGAGACTCATCGATAATCCAAGTTCTAAGTGAATTATCCTTCCCCGTGGAGACAATTACTGGTTGGCCATCTAGGAACTCCATGTGGTTTATGCCCGAGCCCGTGCTGTCTCCTGGATCTTTATGAGCCTCGCGAAGGACACCCGTTACACGGCCACCGTCATTCAAATCCCATAGTGTAATATCTCCACTATCCACACAGGAGGTTGCCATCACCCCAGCCTCACGACCGTCTTCTCCCGCTCCGGCACCATCGCTCCGAAAGGCGATACACGTTATGGCTCGGGCATGAGACGTTTGCGGTTGGAATGAAAAAATTATTTGACTGGTTTCCACATTTTGTATCACGATTGATCCGCTTCCATAGGCGATTGCGATAACTGAAAGCACGGGGCTTGGTCGAAGCACGGTAACTGGCCCCGCGCTGGGGAAGGCTGGGAGAATGGTGTGAATAAGTTTCCCGGTCTTTAAATTCCAGATATCAACAGCCCCATCGGATTTTCCAATGAAAACTTTATTAAGATAAGTTGGGACATTGCAGATTCGAGTCGCATAGGCGGGTTGGCGGGAGGTCCCGCTGGAGCGTGTAAGAGTAAGCGATGTATAATACTCATATGTTCCATTTTTCCACACTGTGATCGAGTTTCCACAGCATCCGACAATCCACGAGCCGAAAACAACCAGATGTTCAATCGGCTCAGGAATGTCGGCCAGGATTTCCAGTGATGCAATTTTCTTCCCGCGCTTGAAAACCCAGATGCCGCTAGGAGCTCCTGGCGCTGCGTCCCCCCAGGCTGCGAATACTTTATCTTGCCACGCGAATGTGGCGGTAATATCTCGCGGGGTTTGCGGGCGACTAATAAATACTAACTTGAGCCCTTGACGTAGGTCATAGGTATGAAGACAGCGGCCGACGGATGTTGTTATTTGAAAAGTAACTTTTCCAAGCCGAGCGTATGTAAAGGGGACAGCGGTTGGCGAAACCAACCCAAGCGTCTGGTCATAATTATTCAGCTATAGTTTTCGAGGGCTTGTTCAGAGAAAATGTAAAACTTACCCGAAAAGGCGAAAAAATCTTAGACCCAGTATCTTGTGGAACTCTACAAGCAGTACTGCCTGTGTCTGTTTTCTGTCTCTTTGCAAGTGGCAATGAGAAGGCGTCATTGCCATTATAACTTAAGGGCATTTTTTAGTGGGTGTGATCACACCTGTTGGTAAATCTGGATGTCGGAGGAAAGTTTTTTGAGATTAGATAGATAACTAGTTAACTATATTGATTTGTATGACTAATCATGATCATGGAACTGTTTTGCTGCGTTGAATGATGACTGCCAAGGATTGGTGGGCGGTGTCAGTCTAATTGTCGCAAGATGGTGATCTTAATGAAGAGTAAAAGTATTGGTTTTATATCTTCGTAGAATCTACGAGGCAGAGATAAAAGCTATTTGGTGTATATTGATATTAAACTAGTAAGAGGTAGGTTGATACTTGATAGTGACTCAGACAGTCATGAAGTTATGAACTCATGCTAAAATAAGACAGGAACTAGGAGTCTAGGATTGTAGTGTCACAGGATCACAGCAAGACACTGCTGAATCATCCGGCTATATGTTATTAGCTAACTATATAGAGAGAAGGCTAGAACCTCTATAACTTAACTTTTATAAATTATAATTTAGAAAGTAGTAATCTTATTATTATTATATTTATTATTCTAATTATAGGGGGTGTGAGGCCGCAATACTAATATAGCGGTTCTCTAGGGATTATAGAGACGTGATACGTGGTTGGTAGAGGGTAGGTCTGTATTCAAATGAACTAATCGCTGGCTCTCCTAGCTGAGAACCAGCGGCGTAATATGTGTCTGTATGTCACGTGGTGGCTGCTTGGCCGCCGCAGTGTGCCTCAGGCACGCTTGTATAGCGTCCGCAGGTGGCAGCGCATAACAGGGGGTAGCAGCTATATTTATAAACTAGCTATATCTATAAAAGACTACATGGATCGCGAGCTATCTCATGATATATAGTATTTTTATAGTAAATCTAGTAATTAATAATTCTTTTTTTATATCTACTAGATCTTTAATTTTCTATACTTTAATGGATTTCTATATTAGTTTTAAATATTTTAACTATTTTATAAGATAATAATATTATTATAATTTTTTTTCTTACTATTAATCTATTTCTCTTTTTTAAATAAGGATCTTATCTAGAGTTAATTCTATTTTATATTTATTTTTACTATTTATTTAGATTACTGGTAAGAGAATCTTATTTTTAGATTATAATAAAAGTTTATTATATTCTACTAGCTAGATTAGATTAATATAAAATATTAGATAATTTTTTTTTAAAAATATTAAAGTATATAATATAAATTTCTCTAATCTCTAGTATTTAATATTTAATATTTTTCTATTCTAACTGTCTACTTAACTAGTTAGTATATGTGATAACATCCCGAGATCAGTAAATATTAAAGCTATTAAAATACTGAAGTATGGCCTGAAAATATATTTCTAGTATTATTTTTTTTAATTTATTTATTATCTAAGTATCTATATATAATCTAATAAGATATTAGTACTTATCTTAACTAATAATAGAATCTTAAGATATTAATATCCCTAATATATATTAAAAATATTAATATCTTTAAGTATTAGTATAGAGAAATTATATTTTTCTTATTTATTCTAGCTATCTATCTAGATAGTCTATATTTTATTATTTTTATAGATATATATTTATCCCGGATATAAAGCTAGTTAATAATAAGTATTAATATATTAGATATAAAGCTATATAGATATTAATTCTTAATTAGAGATAAAGAGATATAGATTATTATTAAATCTAGTTATTTTAAAATTTAATTAAATAGTACTTAGAAAGTCTTATTATTTTTATTAGTTAAGCTATTATCTATAAATTAATATAAAAGAAAGTTAAATCTAAATTATTAGAGACTTAATTAAGTATTATCTTATTTTAAATAACTAGAAGCTAGATATAAAGTAAATATTAAAATTAAGAAAATATTTTATTAAAACTTTTTATATACTTATATTAGACTAATATAGAAAAAATAAGAGTAAAAAAAATCTATTATAATTTTAAATATTTTAGATACTAGATTCTTTATAATAATAGATTTTTTAAGTAAATTAATAAATCTTTATTATAGTTAAGAGAATTTTTATATATCTAGATATTAATATATTAATTATTATATTTATATTTTATTTATTAGATTTTCTCTCTTTTAATTCTCTTTTCTATAATTATTATTATTATCCTGATTTAAAGCTTTACTATATTATTCAATCTATTATATTTCTTTTTTTTATATTACTATATTAAAGTTTCTATTTTTTTAAGCTTATATTCCCTATATTTATTTATTATAACTTAAAACTTTATATTTTTTTTAAAAGGCTAAGTCTACTAAAGTCTTATTTTATATTTAATCTAATATCTTTATTTTTAATTTAATAAATACTAGTAAGTCCTTCTATTTAGTCTTAATTAGTATTAATACTAATACTTTTAGTTTTTTTTAATATAGCTTCTAGTTTTAAAATAGTTTAAATCTTTTTATTATTTATAATGCTAATTAGTCTTTAAATTATTATAGATATTCTATTATTAAAGTCCTAAAAAAATCTACTAGAAAAGTAGTTATATTCTTTATTTTTATAATAAGAAATTATTTAAAGATTAGACCTATAGTTATTATTAAATTAGAAGAGTATTTTAATCTTATATTATTAGCTTTAAATACTAGGATAGTACTATCTAGTTTAGAGTATACTCTAACTATATATAGGCTAGTAATAGTAGTAAATATTTAATTTATAACTTTTAAGGACTTAATAATTAGATCTCTATATATATTAGGTAAGTTATTATTTATTCTTATCTAGTATTTATCTTTTTTATCTTATTAATAATAGTCTTGTTTAGAAAGATTTAATAATCTAGTAGTCTAGAAAAAGCTAGAAAATATTTAAATATATATAAAGCCTTATTATTATTAATTTATTTTAAGTTTATTTTATATCCTGGAGAAATATCTCTATTTATTATTAAATTATTTATAGAGTAAATTTCTAATTTATTATAATTTTCTTAAAATTTATTAGATAGTAAGATTTTTATATAAAAAATATTACTATTTTTATAATAAAATTTCTATTTTTTTAAGACTATTTAAGATCTTTAAATTTTTTATGTTATTATCTCTATCTATCTTTATATATTAGATATTATTAATACTATTGACTAGTATAAGTTCTAGATAAAAAAAGCCTAATATCTAATATTTTATATACATTCCTAATTTTAGTTTTTATTTCTTCTTTCCTAATCCTATATAGGTTATAAATATTTAAGATAATGAGTTATTTATTAAAAATTCTTTTTTATTTTTAAGTTTAATTTTAGTACTTATAAAGATTATCTAGCAGCTCTTTTTTTATTTTATTAAGAATAATAATAAGTCTAAAAAGAGAATTTTAAAGAAGTAATAATATTACTTTTCTAGGCCTGTTAAAAAAAGATTAAGATAGCTCTAGCTATACTAGAAGCTTCTATACTATCTAGTTTTAACTATAATAATAGTAATACTAGTCTTGATCTAGAGATTATAATAATTAATATTTTATATTTAGTATTTATTAAGCTAGTTAATAAGATCTTTATTTTTTTTATAAATAAGATAGCAATAAAAAAAAATAGCTAAGAAGCTAAGAATAATAATAATATTATATTAGATAACTTTACTAATATTAAAAAGATTTAAATATTTTATTAATTTTTTTTTTATTTTTTTAGACTAGCTATCTAAATTTATAGATTTTATTGATTAGCTAGCTATTAGTTTATTATAGAGTAGTTTAAATAATTATAAAAATCTATTTTTATATTTATATAGCTTTTCTTTTATAGGTCTATTCTAATTATTTCTAATAATATAGAATAACTATAGTAAATAGTCTATTAAAATCTATCTTTCTAGTATTTTTTTAAGAATAGAATGTAGGAATTGAAGTTGTTGAGAAAGATAATTAATTAATTAAAGTGGACAGCCAGGCAGAAATAGCAGGTCTGGAATAATTAACTAACTATTAACTAGGCTAAATCTATACTAGCTTAAGTTAAGTAAAGTAAGATAATAATAGGCATGCTATAATAATAAAGTAATAAAAGACAGGTATTACTATAGATATAGAGATTTTTAAGAATATAATAGTTTTATTAGCTATATAATAGAATTTAATAGAATTAAATATAATAGAATAGATTTAAAAATAGCTTAATAAGCTTCTTTACTATAGTTAAATATATATAGTAATTAAATAATAGAAATAAGATAGTAAAGACTTAGAGCTAAACTTAATAAATAAATAAGTAAAGTATTAAATATTATAATTAAGATTATAGAATAATTTAAATTTAATAATAATTTTTTTAGTACTAGTAAAATTCTTTTTTTAAATTTATTAATTATATTTAAGACTATAGCCTAATTATTAAATATAATATTTAATAAAGAGAATATACTTTTAACTATATAAATAAATTTAGTAATTAAGTATATATTTAATTTTATAATAGTTAAGGTCTTTAAGAAAATAAATATTAAAAATAATAAAAGATTTTACTTTCTTATATTTATATAGATTAGAATTTATAGATATAAGTTTAAGTTAAATAACTAAAATAACTAGATATATATTTTATAAATTAAATAAATTAGATAATTTATATATAAGATATCTAATATAATAGATAACTATAAAAAATCTAGTATAATAAGATTTTAATTTTAAGATAATATTAATAATAATAAATAAATTATATTTTTTATATAAATAAAGATATACTTAACTTTCAGGTTTAAATAAAATAGATATATAATAATAATTATAGACTTATTTTATTTAGATATAAGTAAATTTATATATTTTTTTAATATTAAAGCAGGAGCTAAAATCTTATTTAAAAAAATAATAAAGTATATACTAGAAAGTATATAGATTAAGACTAAATAATAAATAGTAAAATATTTTATTAATTATAATATTATAGAAACTATTAATTATAGAGATTATATTAGATAAAAAACTTAATTATATATAATAACTAGATATATAACTATAATAAAATATTATTTTAATAACTTAAATAATTTATTTAGATTAACTATCTATTTAAGAGTAATATATTATTATATAATACTAGATTATACTAGTAGTCTTATATATAACTTTTTAAAATTTAAAGATAAAGATTTAATCTTAATTAGAGATAATATAATAAGATATTCTTTAATTATAGAATTATAAGTATTATATAATTAGTATATCCTATTATTTAGTATTAAAGATAGTTTAACTAGAAAATAGATTAATATACTTTATAAATTTATTAATAATAATAAGTAGGGTATTAAATCTAGTTTTATTTTTATATATAATATAAGAAATACTATTAATATTATAGATATTTAGAGATAAAATAATTATAAAATCTATAATAATTATATTAAATAGTATAGGAATAATATTAATTAGTTAAAGATTACTAT